CCTTCATTAAACTGGAAATTGATCCTAAAATACTATTTATTAGAATCCATGCAAAACTAACAGAGGGATATTTTACAGCGCTGCAGCAGTGGTTGCAAATCTTTGCCTGCCATCTAGTGGAATATGCAACAGTTTCCAGTAATGTTTCTATTTATTCTCTTATTTTGTGTTTTGCAAATATTGGAAGTGCATTAAAAAAAATTACTGAAGTAAACATGAAAAGCATGATAGCAGTACCCTCTTCATAAAATTATTAAGCAACAAACTCTAATTGCTGTGCAGACAAAAGAGTAATTTTTGTGGATACCAGGTTCTGTGACACAAATCGGGTTCTGTCAGCTGATTATCCCAGAAGCTGGGATAAAATAAGACAAGCTGAAAATAAGGTAAAGCGCTGCCCAAAATTTTTTTCCTACAGATTTTTTGCTAAACCTACAAACAGATGCCAAATGTGACTTGGACACATCCCAGGACAGTAATAACAAAAAGCAAATAAAAGATGTATTTTAGACGAATGAAGAATATCTCTGATACTTATGGGATCTCTCTCCATACAACACTAGCATACATATGCCAATGCATTGGATACTTACACTGCACACTATAACATAAATAAAGAAGTTTGTGCACTAGGACACAGAGCAGATTCAGGCACGCAGGATATTGCACAACTCCAGTTTCTCTGACAATTGTACACATATTAGGACTAATCAAAGTAATTCTATCAAAATAGAATTTTGATAGAAGAGAAAAAGCACTCACCAAGAAAACTATTATTGAATACTCCCTGATTATCTTGGGGAAATATTGTAGAAATTACTCCCTCTAATAAGAGAATTAAAATTGAAGGGAGAGGAAAATGGTGAATTGTGGCAGATGTAGTTGGCAGAAGACCAAGCTCACAGTAAATGGGAGCACAAGACATAGAACAACAAATTACAACACTATACTGAATGAAAATCTCTGGAGTTTTAGTAAAATAGTTTTCTTTTTTACTTTAATTATTGTTATTTTTTAGTATTTATATGAAGGAAAACAAGCTATTCTAACTACACTGTCGGGCCATGTGAAAGCTAAAGGATTTGCCCAAACAAAATCATGTCTTTGTCCTCCATCCAGTCACAGTTAAGATGAACAATGACCACATCCTCTGTTGGTTTATGTGCTGTATTGCTATTCTCACTAACTTCTGTAAAACTTCACAGACTGCAAGTAAACGCTGAGTTTGGCCCAACATGTCTAAAAATGCATGGCTGCTGTAAAGTCATCTAATCAGATCAAACAGGCAGCCACAGATTGATAGAACCTGAGGGAATGGCCTGAGGTGTCAGGGAAGGTTTAGGTTAGATATGAGAAAAAGTTTCTTCACCCAGAGGGTGGTTGGGTGCTGGAACAGGCTCCTCAGGGAAGTGGTCACAGCACCAAGCTGACAGAGTTCAAGAAGCATTTAGGTGATACTCTCAGGCACATGGTGTGACTCTTGGGGATAATCCTGTGCAGGGTCAGGAGTTGGACTCAATGATCCTTGCGGGTCCCTTCCAACTCAGCATGTTCTGTGATTCTATGACAAAGAGTGGCAGCTTTATTACTAGTATCATGCTTAAGAGTAAAATGCATAGCTGAAAATACCATGCTAAAAATGTAGGCCAGATTATCAGTCTGCATATGTGCCAGTTATTTTTCTGCCTTCAATATGAGCGCAATCAGCACAGCACATAGGAGTGCGTGTACCTTGATGAGTTGTTCCTATGCCTGAGACTGGTTTTACTTGAACAGTGAAGCTAAACAGAACACTTACTTTCAAATTAGAAAAGCACTTGCTCTGAGAAAAGCCTGTTTTACTTCAGTCCGTATTTCTTTATATACAATATCCTATACAATTCAACTTGTACCCTGAATTCTCCCTAAGAGAATAGCGAGGCTCCTCTTTGTATGTCCTAGGAAATGATTGTTCAGATACTTTTGTTTGTATCTTTACTTCAAAATAACCACCTGCTGCTTACAATAAGCTTTGAGTTCAACGCGAGGTCACTGGTCACAAGAATTATTTTTATATTTTTCTGTCCTTCATTAGCTGTCCTCTCCCAAAATTATAATACATTCTCTTCACAATCATATGCCCCTATAAACTGGCTTGAGAACCAAACCAGGGTATGTAACAAGCAGCTTTCCAAGCAGGCAAGATGAAACATCATGAGGAGCTTTCCTGGTAGCCCAGAAAAGAGGTACAAAGTGAGAGCTGATGATTCAGTTCCTTGAAGTTGCACCCTCACAAGTTATGCCAACAGGCAGTGATGGCTGAAGGGGTTGGTGAACCTGTCTTACCAGTGCCAGCTTCAATGCCAAATGCCAAGGCAATGTGACATCCTAAGTCTCTCTTTCCTGTATCTCCTGTCCATTAAATAGGAAGATAACGGTTGGTATCTTCAAACATACCAATTTTGGATGTAGTGTACAAATAAAATAATCATAATACATTCAAGATGGGATGTCCCTCACCCTCCTGAGGCCTCCTTCCCTACCAAGGGTTCCTCCCGGCTGTCCCTAAGGGTTCCTTAGGGAACTACAGTATGGCTGGGCACCACCTCCTCCACTCCTTCATTTTCTATCTCCTTCACTGAAAGTTAAATGTGAGTGTTAAACTTCCACTTGCCTACATAATGACACCACTGAGCTCTTTCAGAGATCCATTTTCATGAGCTGGTCTCTCCTTACATGTAAAAATTGGAGGTAAGAAACTATTTATAAAGTGATAATAAAATGCCTAGACTTAATACATTCCAGACTTCCAGTTCAGATAATTAATAGTTGTGGTGTTTGGTTTTTTTGATCGGGTAATGTTTAAATATCTCAGAAAGCAGGCTTCCATTTATCTCACTGACAGAAACATCACTGATATTCATCCTAAATATTCCTAATTTTCTTCACATTACTTTTACTTAGAGCTGTTCCACATTGCCCTTCATTGACTCTGCAGTCAGAGAGAACTGCTACAGCCAGTGTTCCTGACACCCTTTAGAGAGGTATTGTAGACTTTGCACAAGAAGCTGAATTTAAGCATGTCTTTTAGAACTATTGATTTTAACAACATCAAGCAGTAGCCACTTCGCAATGTCAAAGTTTACTTACCTTCACTCCTGGGAAGTTGTGCCATATTTTTAAGGTAATGGATCTGGTATGTTTTCCCTGTCAGGTTAAAAAGATGTAGCCACAAGACTTCCTTTATGTTCAAGGCCATAACTAGGGTCATTATGTCTCTTCTCAACTTCTCTTTGAGAACCTGCACACTCCTAAGTTCTTTGAGAACTCATCAGGCTTGCTCTTCAGTTCTAAAACAGCTTTATGGCTTCATTTAAGTTATCCTTGTACTTTCTTGCAGTATAAACAGTGGGTCTAGAAGCAGTGAACAGGACTATGGTTTTACTTCACTATCTCTACTTGATAAACCTATTTCCTATATATAACAGGAACCATTTCCACAACTTCACAAAAACCTCACAGTAAAGTAGCTGTTCAGAATGCTTCAAAAATCCTTCTCAAATTACCATTTTTCAAGTACTGAGATTTTGGTTTTAACATTTTTTAAAGCTTTTTTTTCAAATCTCAATCCCAAGGTCACATGACACCAAAACAACACAGTACATTTGTGTTTTTACTGAACGATGTCAACGGTGTTTGAAGTGAAAATTGTCCTGCAAGAACTGGAACATACATCATCACAGAATCACAGAATCATAAAGGTTGGAAAAGACCTTTAAGACGATGAAGTCCAACCATCAACCCAGCAGCACCACCACATTCACCACTAAACAATGTCCTGAAGTGCCATATCCACCCTTTTTGTGAACACTTCCAGGAATGGTAACTTCCCCGGGCACTCTGTTCCAATGCTTTACAGCCCTTTCTGTAAAGAAATTTATCCTAACACCTAATCTAAACCACCCCTGGCACAACTTGAGGCCATTTCCTCTCCTCCTGTCTCTTTGTTACCTGACTTTTTTTGTCTTTCATTCTTTGCTGATGAAATCTCAAGTTCACCAGTCGGATGTTTGCTACTGCTGATGCTAGATGACTGGTCTGCAATTCTGTTCTTGCTCTTGCACTTTTAAATGTTGAAATTACTTTGACATTCTTTGAAATACTGTTTCCAAACTTTTTAATTAAAAAGTAGTATTTGTGGCTTAAAGAGTTGAATCCCTAATACTAAAGCCATGCCTACATCCCTAGCTCAGATCAAACAGAGTAATATAAAGCTCCACTGCTCAGCATTAGATCTCTTTAAAGCAGGTTGTCTACAGCCATACTAACTACCACCTTGTCACATGGGTCACTGCTGATTCTTAGGTTATTGTAATTTTTTTTGCCTTTTCTTTTAAAGTATATCAAATAATAAGGACTGAAGCATTTCTACAGCATGAAACTACAAGCATGTAAAAGCAGATTACTGTGTTTGAAGGTGAAGTGTTGGGGAAGAACAGGACCTGGTACACAGCCTGCTGGGAGCACTCCCTGGAGTAAAGTGTGAAACAGTAACAGCATACAAGTTAAACTCTGAAAGAACTAGTCATTTGAATAAAAAAGTGAGTCTAGGACTGAACCAGTATTTACTTACCCAGAGAACAGCAGGCGGGAAAGAACATTAGCTAACATATATATACACCTTTCATGCATACAGACCTATTAGGGCAAGTGTCTTGGCCTAATCACCATTCAGCTTTTTTTTTGTTAAAACATTTTTTTTTAGTTAACACGATTTTCTATGAAAAACTCTCTAATGTTACAATGGAGACTTCAGGATCATATGTTTATCTTCTTTTCTAGTACTAGCAATCTCATGCGAAGTTATTTTCTTACTTAAGTTTGTATTTCTAAAATGTAAAATTACAAATGTCAGCAATCCATGCTCTCTGCATGACTGGATTCACAGCTGTGTTTAAGTTCTCAGAGCTTTGCTATATGTGACACTAAAGATACTTAGTGTAAGAATGAGAAACTGTAAGTGGTAGGCAGGACTGCATTTTATTCACAATCACTGAAAAGGAATGAGAATAAACAGTCAACTCCTGCCCTAGGTCACCAGTGGTCCTTTGGAGGGTCTTCGCTGGGTTGTGTGCTGCATGACTTAACCTCAAAAAAGGGACAAAGCAACAAAATTTCCCAATTATAAAGTTAGTGAGGGTAGCAAGACTACTAGCAAACTGTGATGAACCGTAGAAACACATGTAAGACTGATTAGGAAAGAAAATGGCCCGTGCATTTCAGCATAGACAAAAAATTATACACATGGAGATAAACCACTGTAGTTTCACATATGAAAAAATAGCCTCTGAGCTTAACATTCCACTCAAGAGTGTTAACAATAGATAATGCCATGGAAAGAGCATAACATTTGGTTCATATTAAAAAAGCAAGTCAAATATCAGGAATTACTAGGAAAGGAATAAAGAACAAGAAAGTAAACAAACAGGCCAGTACTCAACTGCATGGCTAATGTTGCATGCAGTTTTGGTTCCCTTCTCAGAAAATAATATGAGATCCAGAAAAGTTTCAAAGGACAGTAAATACAGAAGCTATTCTATGCCTTTGGTCACCCAAGAAGTATTTTAGCTAATGCATTTCAGTTCAGAAGGGGAAATTTAAAAGTGACTGTAATATATCTGGAGAACATTGACTGGCACAGGCATGGTAGATACAAGTTTACTATGCAGGGCATATTAAATTAAGCTAGTTCAAAATAAACAAGAAGCGGTAATTCCTTAGGCAACAGACATAAATTGATAAGGGCTGCTGTTATTCAGGAAGCATATACAGTCCAAAGGAAACTGGACAAGTACTGGAAAACTGAGCACTGAGAGTTACTAGATAGACAAACCATACGATGTTCAGGAAAGCCCGGAAAAGAAGACACTTAGAAGCTAGAACACAGAAGAAAAATAACCAAATGTGCTTCTATTGTTCTTACCCTTTCTCAGGCAGCTGCTTTTGACTACAAAAGAAGCTATTGTGTTAGAAAAAAACCAACTTTGGTCAGGACCTGTATAGCTATTCCTATGTTTATCTTCAAGAGTTTCAGGAACATATAAGTAAGGAGTACAGAGAAAAAGCACGTGCTGTTTGCTTGGCTCCTTAGTTAAACGTAGTAGAAGGTGGTGCGTGTTAGAAATACAGAAAAGACTTCTCAGTCATCAGTGCTAAGTCTGAGCATTCATGTTCACATAATGGGGATGCTATTAAATGACAGACTTACCTTACAGCAGTAAATATTTCCAATATGAAACTTCCTACTAGAGGGATTTTCTTTATTTCTTACCAGGAAGAAGAAATAAACACATACTGTATTTTTTCTGGATGGTACCCCAAACCAAAAGCCAGCAGGAGTTCCCTTACACCAGTTTTGAGAAACAACATGTTCTCCCTTAAGTATATTAATTAATATTAAGTAACCAATATTACCATTTACTTCCATGTAATAATAGCAATAATGCATTTTTAGTTTTATAGACATCAAATTGAGGTTTCAAATGTCAAAGACATGCCCTGCTTCTATAATTCTGCACGACAAATGGTCCACCAGAAAGTGTCTAAATGCATAAAAACTCTAAGCCTACTGATGGCAAAATGGTAGATGCAATTTATTGGACAGATCAAGAATTATATATATAATTTGTATAACTATATATCTTCTCATATTGCAATTGCAAGCTCTTTTTAAGCATTTCAAAGACATAGAACCCAAATCAAAACAAGCTAACAAGCTAGAAAACCCCCTGGAAATACATAAATGCAAAGTAGTCAATAGAGTGGCATTCAAGGGAAGTCATGACAACTTCCTGAATTACTCAAAGATCTGGCAATGGAGGAAAAGGAGATGCACCAGAAGTGCATTTCCTGATGCATCCTAATAAAATGTCATTATTATTTTAGGCACATTTGCTATAGTTTACTTAAAACTTTCAGGGTTTAAGTTACACAGGGTAATCTCACAGATTTAGATGTGCCTCCTGAGAACAACAAGAACGCTCCACACGTCTTTTCTCTTTTTTGACATGTAGCCCTGAGTTTAGAGAAAATTAAGTAAAGAGCTAATTGCTAATTTGTGCTGATCTGACCTGGTGTCTTCATGATGTTTTACTGACTTTTCAGATTTCCTAAGAGAACTTCATTGTTGATATATTTTTATACTAAGGATATCTTACTGTTTAAAAAAAAAAAAATTACACCCAATATTCAAGTCATGAACACTTAAAACCCTTTGTAAATTGGTGCTGTGAGTGTGAAAAATGACACATATATTTATAAGTTCCCCAGCTTGGTTATCCAGAAGTTTTTATAGCATTCTCTTGCAATGATTTTTGGGACACTCTAACTGGAAATAAAGGTAAGTGATTCAGTGTAATATAAATATTTTTCTATTCTCCCTACCAGCAATTTGAAGTATTTAGCCTCGTTGATTGCTTTTTGTAGAGCTATGACCTAGAGTGCATATGCTGTAAACTCTCAGAGTAGAAAGAACTTTTTATCTCTGCACAAATATAACTTTTGGCTTAACAAAGATTCCAGGTTCATTTCCAAATGTGCTTCACTCTATTAACCCTGGAGTTCCTTTAGGTCCCATTAGCACCACACCTTGAAACTAGGACAACCAAAATCAAAAAAGCTAAAAAAAAAAAAAAAAAGCTTAAAAGCCACAGGTGAAGAATACAAAAGAAACTACTTTCTTACAAAGTAGAATTTCTGGACGAAAGGATATTTACTGGAAATTAAGACTTCTTCTGGCACCAGTGAAGATTTCTAGTTCTAAATGAGAAGACATTTCTACACCAACTGACTGTTTAAGTCTCATTGATACCCATGAACCAAATCTGATGCTTCTCATTTATGCTTTGACTAAGAAATAACAGACAGACTTAATATTTTTAGATCCAGTAGTTGGAACAAATGTAACAAATGTAGCATTTAATCTCCATAAAACATCCCACGTCACCTAGAATTTAAATTTACATACATTTCTGCATGGATAACTGAAGTACCTTTATTACCTAAGTGAAACACTTTTCCCAGCAATTTGAATCAAAATCAAAAGGACAATTCATTACCTATATTATCAAAAATGCTTTACTTCTTATTTTCAAATTGATACTTAAATCACTGGCCTTGCTCTAATTAAAATAAAGTCAGTCTGGGCTTCATTCCTCTATGGTCCATAAAGCAAGGCTAAAATTGTACACGTAGTTTTTCATCAAAGCAAGAGATAAAACCCAGGATATACTAGCACTTCCAAAGGATGCATTAACAAAGCTGCATTCATTATAACAATATGCATTGATACGTGCTAGTAAATTCAACAGACGTACAGTATCTGGCATGATTTTAAAAGTATTGGATGCCAAAGAATAGCAATTGCACTATATTCACAAACAGTTCACAAAAATACCATGTAATGATATTACTGGTGAACTTATTAAAAAATTTTTCAAAGCTATTATATGCACCATTCTTTTGAATAATATTACAGAAATATTCTGAAACCTTTGCATACACACTTATTTCATTTTTGTCTGAATAGTGGCAATCTTCAGAGCTCCTGTTAAGTTTATCTTGGCATTCTTCTCATGCAGAAATCTTTGCCCATATTAGCCTGTCATATTTTCAGCAGCCTAGAAGCAGAAAAAACATTTATTGCAAGTCACCAAAAGAGACATCATATAGATTAAATTTAATCTTTTCTTGTAACTGTTTTAATTTTCCTAGACCTAAAAAAAAACCCCAAACAAACCAAACCTAAAAATTAAGAACTACTTATGAACATTTCTCTAATGAACACTCTTTTTAAAAAAAAATAATGCTGTCGACTGCCATTATCCTTTTCTAAAATAGCCATTCCTGTTTGCTTGTGTTAAATTTTATGTCCTGTATCTGAGCAACTTGTATCCTGTACATTTTACCCTAATGCTTTCAAGGAGTGCTCAAATGCATATGTTTACCTCTGGAGTTTACTACTTGATATAATTTGTGGTAATTATTATTCTCACTCATACAGATAAGCTATTGACACAAAACTTAGAAGAATTACACTAACTATAACCGTATAAATCACACTGCCAATTATTTCATTAAGAATATTAGTATTTTTTATTACTGAATAACTCAACCCAACCAACAAGGCACATTGTCGAAGACTGACATTGGAAGATTTTAGCCAGTTATGGGACAAACAGTCAAAAGATAGCAAAAGGAATGATACATCAGTAAAAGCAAATGAAAAAGTAAAGCAGCCCTCAATTACTGAAATATGCATAGTTAAATTCATATGTATGCATGCCTTTAAGTACAAATATAAAATATGCATGAGCATAGAAAAATGTTAAGTTAAAAATAAAGTATGCAGTCTTCTAGAATAGAAGCAAGATACAGGTTTCCCCTCCACCTCCCAGAAATAAACAAGTAGACGATCCACTAGAAAACAATCGTGATTGTGATGTTTAGGTGGACCATAAAGAATGAAAATCCTTTAAAAGTCAAGTGAGGATTTGTTTTTAAACCATTGTTACCCTCCACTAGTTAAACAGGAGGTAAATGCTAACATATGAAAAGCCCTATATAAACACACATCATGAAATCCCCTCTTGCTGGTCTTTGGAAAGGTTCAAAGCACAGGTTAATGTGGTGAAAGAAATATGTGAAGATTACACTACCAAGCTGCATGTACCCATTTACAAGTACTGCTGCATACTGTTAAGTCTGAGGTTATAGAAATGAGGTCATATTGGTTAAAGGAGAAAGGAGCAATCTATTTGTGATATGATGCAGATAAGGGGGAAAATAGTGACTACAAATGCCCAGAATAAAAATCTGTGGGTTTTGGTTGTGGTTTTTTTTTTTTTTTATATTTTCCCCTTCAAAAGAGTTAATCTAACTATTTTATTTGTACCATTTCTAGCATCATGTTTAATTCAGTTGTATTCATTGCCTTTTCCATGGAACAGTTAATTTCCTTGATTTAAACATGAATCATATCTTAAAGTACAATTTACAAACTGAAGTATAGCAAGTTGCACATACATCCAACTCTTAAAAACAAATTTATAGGCTTTTTAAACAAAAGCATTACCTTTAGAGCTTCTGTAGCCTTGCGTAGTTCTTTAATAACAGATGACAATGCTTCTGGATTTATCCCTTGTTCACAAAGCCGCACACAAATAGACAATGTCTCCATATCCAAGCCAGTGTTTAATATTCTTGAAATCTCAAACAGAACTGCAACAGAAAAAAATAAAAGCACTTCGGTCCCTACAGACTATGAAATTTCAATTATCAAAATCCTTATTCATCAACATTTAACTTCTACAGTAGAGTGTGAACATGGCAGCTGTCCATTGCAGTCTGAACTTCAACAACAGCATTCATGTTCAGCTTTCCAGCACAAGCTAAAAGCTACGGTTTCCAACATAAACACCATGCTTTTCAGGTTCAGGAAACTTATTACTGGATAACAGGTTTTGAAAAGGTAAAAAAAAAATAAGTGAAGAATTCAACAATTAACATGCTCCCCAATTATGTAAAAGGTAGGCTATAAAAATACTGTACTTTAGAACTCCAGATACTGATGATGCCCTGCTGAAATGGCCTGGGAAGCACATTGTTAAAGCTTTTATAGAGAACATCAGCAGTTTTCTAGCCACCTTCTTCCACAACTAAACCTGACTTTAGGTCTAACATTAACACAAGTTTAATGATAAGCAATATTATTCAATTTTTATGTGTCCTGAATCACGAGCAGCACCACATGTCAGTATGAGACCTTCCGGAGAAGGAGATTCCAGTCAGTTTTGTTAAAAAATAGGTATCTCTCTTGCTCCTTCCTAAGTTTCTCTGGAAGGTCCCTTTTCTTTGATTCTCATAAACAGTTTGTCCCAGATGCAACAGAACAACTCACTGAGATTTTACTTCTGGTTTCTACAGTTACCGCCATCCTGAAGCTAAGCTCCAATATGGATTAATTTTGTACAGGTGTTACTCACACAGTTTATGTAACCAAACCTCCCCCAAGCTAGGGAAAAGTGAAGTACAAGGTCTTTCTCACCACATAAAAGCATCATGGCAAGTGACTACTGTCCACTTGACAACTATGAAAATATTACAGTGACATCCTGCAGCACACCCTCAGAGTCACACTTACCCAAGACATTAACAACCTAATGTATCCAGTCAGTTCCATTGAAGCCACAGGGAAAAAAAATCTCTACATGTGAAAATATTCTTGAAGCCCACACAGGTAGGTTGGATTAAGAATATGAACAAGTGTAAGACATGAAAGCAGTCTGTCAGTCTAAAGTCCTATCTACAAGCCAGGAGGAGGAGAGCTTTTATCCTTCTCCACCTCAAGACATTCTTTTTCATGCTGGCTTGAAAACAAACCATTCCAAACACATTATACATGCATGCCCTGTCCATACCAAAGCACCTTCAACTAACAAACTGATGCAGTTGCAATAAAATGACATTGAATGTTCAAGAGCTACAGAACTAAGAAGGACTGAAAACTTCCCAGAAAGAAACAAGTCTTCCTTTTTTTAACCATTTAAAATCTATCAAAAATTTTACTAAGCATGTGACATATTTGAAGGCAGAGCAGTAAATATAACTGAAGATAAGTTCCAATTTCTATGTCAGCAAGAACTGTGGTCACTAGTTGGGGCAGTGTCTTTGGCAGAGAGATGTAGCAGTTTCTCCACAATTTTTACATGGGGAGCCTGGGCTCCTAAATCTGAAGATCAGTGCACTTTCCATATCTGTTCTCAAAAGCCTTTCTTTGTCTTTAAATCCACATGTCATCCCTCCTGCCCAAAACATTCCGGCATAAATGGAGAGAATGGTTGTTATAAGTAAAACTAGGAAATTTGCTGTTCAAAAGAGTTAATAATGTTGTTGTATCCTACTAACCATATTGTTAAGAGTCATAAGTGATTTAATTGTGAAATCTCTAACCACGAGTTTGTTAACACAACGCAGAATGACTTGGTATTTTAAAGATGTTTGTTATAAGCATATTAATAGGGACTAATATGGAGGACAAGCCACGAGGAGTCCTATGATTAGATGACATCAACCGATGGAAAATTCCAGGACCACGGCCACATAGAGACTAAGGACTTTGATGTTATTGGTGGAAGCCCCTCGGCAACGGCGGAGACCCGCGAACGGAGGAGCCAACCTTGGACTAGCCCGCGAAAGAGGAACCAGACAGAGGATAGCCCGCGAAAGTCTCACCAATAGACTATGGACATGACTTAGGGGGGTGGGGACCAACGAGGGTTATAATTGCCGCTGTTTCGGTTCCCCATTTTGCGGACTGTGGTGGAGCAAGGGTTTCCCCCGGTCGCCCGGCTAGCCGCTTTTGCTTGTTAGCATTAATAAACCTGTTTTTACCTTGCAACCTAAATTTTAGCCTCATTTATCCATCACAATGGTTGTCAAGAACTTAAACTCTCTGTCCTTCCCAAACGAATCTCTCTTCATCTGCACAAGTTAGTCTTAACCTCTTGCAGCATCAGAGGAGCCATAATTCTGCTAGTCCTGCCTTGCCTCCAGCAGCAGGTCAGAGAGTGAAGATCAGTGGCTGAAATGATAATTTTTACACCAGCTCGACTGGTGAAAGTCTTTGCTAAGAAACCCTTATGTAACTTCAAGAGAAGGGAAGATCCTGAGAAAATAACAAATGTAAAGCAACACCCCCCCAGATGTTCTCCTTAGCCTCTATGCCCTCCAGGGCATTTCCAGAGAAAGTCTTTACATTTAAGAACCCTCAGGGGATTTCTTGGCAGCTTTCCACTCTGCATATAAGGCTTTGGCATAGGCATTTCAAAGAATTCCAGAGTTTCACACTACGCTAAGAAACAACTCCAGGATGTACCAGCTTTAATTCCTCATAGTGAGGCCAGAAGAGTAAGTGAACACCTGACCTTTACTCACCTGCTCACGTTTCTTAGCTTATAAATCTCCAAAATATTTCCCAGCTCTCCCAGTGCCACTACTCCCACGTTTCTCATCCCATAACAGTTTTGGTTTTTTTTTTGTTTTTTTTTTTTTTTGTCAGAAACTATTCTAATTCTGTAACACTGACTACTGTTCTCAAAGCTTTTTCACTACATTGTTTGGTTTTGTTTCTTTGTTTGTTTTATTTAGTTTACTTCTGTTTTCTGACTTGAGCCATCTAGGAGAACGAGGGTTCAGATCAGTTCAGGTACTGGCAGGGTTGGTCCTGCCTTTCCTTTCCACACACTTCGTTTCCCCCGGCTTAAATCCAAGACGCACAGAGCCAGGTAGCATAATCTGCGTTATCCGGTGCAAATAACGAGAAAGTAAAGTAAATATATACGTATATTTATAAACACTAAAACCCAATAGTATTCTCTATCAAGTACTTAGCTATCTAAAGATCCCCAAGAAAAGCCACTCGACGTCTAAATTCACTCGCACTACGCGGGTGTTTAAAGCGTTTCACACACTATGAATAACACGAAGCAAAAAAGACATTACTACGCGCTGCATCTCCCAGCAGCCGCAACCCGCATCCCTCTTCCCAGGAGAGGCGCCCGAGGCGTTCGCTTTCTCCTCCATCCTGACTAGGCGGAACCGAAGCTCTGGAGCTGCTTCTTAGCGTTGTTTCTTGGCCACCGCCTCGTGCGCGTCCCCCTCCCCGCCTTCTGTCACGTACCGTCCATGGTCTCCCGGACCGCGTTCAGGCTGGCGGCGTTGCTCGCCATGGCGACCCCGCACCGCCCTCACATCCCCTCCCCCGGAACCGGAATGCGCCCCAGCTCCGGCCCCACGTGAGACCCCACCGCAGCGGCACGGCCGGGAGGGCGGGCTTTCTTTCGAATTCGTGCAGCGGCACCCCTGACGATTGGCCCGTTCGAGAGAGAAGGAGCTCTGCCATTGGCCCGACGGCGGAGGCCGTGCGTCGTGATTGGTCAGAACGGCCGGACGGGGCGGGGCTGTTTAAAGAGCCGCCCGGCGCGGCGGGGGCGGGAGCGGTGAGTGGTGCCTGATGAGCGAGCGGCGCGGCGGCAGCGGCCCGGTAACGGCGGCAGGTGTCTGTGGCCCCGACCTCGGCACCCGCGGCATCGCTCCCTCGGCGCCCGGGGACTGGGAGAGCGGCTCGGCGCGGTGGCACCATCCCGGGGAGAAGAGTGAGAAGGGGCTAAGCGGGGACCCCTCACGCGGGGCTCCCGTCCTGTTCGCCGCCGCGGGGGCGCGGGAGGTGCCCTGCAGCGGGAGGGAGCGGTGCCGCCCCCCGAAGCCCTCGAGGGCCGGGGCAGGCCAGGCCAGGCCAGGCCAGTTGGGGCGGGGGAGGGCGGTCGGTTTTAGCGCCTGGGCCAAGCGGGACCTGCTCGGGGCGTTATTGCTGCCCCGGGCCGCGGGCGGCACCGCGCGTCCCCCTTCCCGCCGCCCGAGGTCCTCCCGCGGGCAGGGGCTGCTGGACTGCTCCGGTGTGGAGGGAGGAGGGCGGGCTCGCCGCCCGCAGCCCCGCTCGCCAATCCGTCCCACCCCTGTGGTCGCTGCTTGGCGTGTGGGCACCGTGGGGCGGGCGGGGAAAGAGAGAGAACCCCTCCTTATTCCCGAAGCCCCTGTGTGCCCGCACTTGGTGCGTGAGCTGCCCTCCAGGAACGTGTTTGGCTTCCTGACCGTTCTGTTTCTTCTAGTGGTTGTTCGTGGGTGGGTTTTTTGGTTGCTTGTTATTTTAGTATTTGTTTGTTTGTTTGTTTGTTTTAATTCCCTTTTTCATGCCCTTTCTTGTCTCGTTTTTTTAGGTTCTGTTTATTTTTAATAGTTTATAGCAGCCTCATTTATCGGCTTTGTGCCAGTAGGTCCAAGCCAAAGCTAACTTCGGTTTTTTTAGTCCTTTAAATGCTTCTGGCACCTTAAAACAATTGATCGTCTCTTCCTAAAGCCTTCAACATGACCCTAAAATGTCAAAATTATGATTTCATTACTTCCCTTAATTTTTCATCTCCCTCTCTTTTATTCAGGAGTAGCTTAGTGTTATGGGTGATACAGAAGAAGGTAAAATGCAGATAGCACCAGAAACTCCAGGACGAGTTGCAATCCTGAATCCATTTGAAAGTCCCAGTGATTATTACACTCTTCAGGAGCAGATTGTCTCCAGTCCTTCGGTCTTTAAGTCAACAAAATCCTCATCAGTAAGATCTAGTCTTTAGTTGTTTAAGTATATATGTGGAACGTTAATATTTTCAAATGCATTTAAAAGGATATTTTTTTAGTGTACTTTAATGTATATACTAAGCCAAAGAATTCTGGTAGCAGTTGGCATTTCTTCTCTTTACAGAAATATTCTGCTTTTAATACTAACATTGTTGCTTAGTCTTCCAACCTTTCTAAATTTATCTAATTTAGTCCTTAGATATTAAGTGATTGAGTGCTAAAAAAGCCCCAGTTCCTAAATAATAAAACTTAGTTGCATTTCTGCTATGAGCTGTTTATGCATTCAAATTATTGATTTTGTGTATATATAACTTGTTGTTGCAAATTACATTTTGGTTTTCAGTTGAAATTATTTGCTGGTAAGCAGTAGAGAAGATACCGTGCTAATGAAACTAAAAAGACTTGGTAGATAATTTTTCAAATGTATTTGAACAGTTCTTGCTAATTGTTAAATAAAGGAGTGAAACTGCTTTATTTCTGACTTGGGTTTTGTTGTGCACTATTCACGGCATTATGAGAGGGACTTTGCAAGATGCATATGAGGTTGCAACTCTTCAGTCTTTGACATGGGAGGTGAAAGGAAGACTTCTCTTTTACTGGATAACATGGTTTAGGTACAGACACTGGGTGTTCATGGAACTACAATTTGGATTGTGGCAATCTAGAAACGACTAAATTTTATCCCAAGTTATGTATCTTTAGTAGATCTGTCCTCAGATATTGAGAAGAAACTGACACCTCAGTTTGTAAATGTTAGCTATAACTTTCCATTTAATATTATCTTGTAAATCACTGTAATACCACTATCAGGGTAAGAAGCTTGACTGACAATAATTTTCTTTTAAAAGTAGGTAATTTAAATAGAAACTCTTTTGATTGTCCGAAACTATATGGGAGCAGTGATTGTGTTGTTCCATTGAGATTAGTCCTATAGTTCTATTTTTATCTTTTTAGAATAGTAAGCATTAAGATGCCTGTTTCTTTTTTTTTCAGACACCAGGAAAATTTAGATGGTCTATTGATCAGCTTGCTCTAATAAATCCTGTGGAAATCGACTCAGAAGATGTTCGACGCCAAGCAATGTATTTGAGCCATGCTAGGTAACTTTGCAATCTGTTTTTATGCAGTTAACTTAGCATTAGTACTAGAACACTGTTCTTTTGCTTTATTAACATTTCAGCATAGCATTAAAGACTTTTTATTGAAATCTTTTAACATAAATTTTTACATGTCTGTGATGTGGATATAATATTTAAATGAAGCTTCCTTGCTGTTCCCTCTTTTCGATGTTAAGAACCGCTGATCCACTCTGATTACAGTTTGGAAGACAGTCAGATAAAAGGAGTCAATGGAAGCAAGAAAATGTCTTGCCAGTGATTGTTACCAGGCTACCTCTTCTGTTCCTTGTTACAACACAGTTTATCTTCTCTGAGTATTCCTCCTGCAGAAGGGTAGAACTGGGAAAGCTACCTAGGGAAGCCAGCACTCCCTTTCAAAGGTATAGATTAGACTTAACATGAAGGAGGGGGGGACCAATGCTAGTTACTTGAAGTAGTTTGGGAACCTTATCTCAACTTTTCCCTTTCTCTGAAAATAACTTTCGTGGGGAAAATGAGTAGGTAAAATAGGCTTGGTATTTGGAGCTTATCTTGAGGATAATTTTACATACCAGTAGTACAGAACAACATGTCAAATGAAGGTAGTCAAGGGAGGCCATAGTGGTGAACCCTGTAGACACTCCTGTATCTTTTTCAGATAAAACTTCCACAAAGAATTTCACCTCGTGGCATGAAGCATCGTAGTAATAGGATAATAAACCAGTCTTCTGTCCTGTCTAAATCAGGTCGCTCAGATCTAAGGGGCGTCTAACTCCTCTCCAAGCAGCCTGTTCCAGTGTTTCAACACCCTCCTCCTAAAAAAATACTGTGAAATAGACTTACTGTTCTTAGTGTCTGATTGAACCTACATCTCTCTTTTTGAATAAGAAGAGCTATAGAAGGAATATAACTGTCCTCAGCTATATCTGTGAATCGCCATGTCCTAATGTCAATATTTTTGTTCTTAATAGCCTGGCCTTTCCTGACCTTCCTCTAGCAGCCAGTAGGTTTCAGACACTAATGCTTTTTATATGTTATAAAGCCTTAAGCCCTATGTTTTTTAGGGAGTCAATTACACTGTTTCTGGAAACCTATTTGGACACGCAGAAACGGGCTTTAGTCTGGATGGTTTAGGTGACATGGCCTACAGATGTGTTGTCTCAGTGGGTCCTTTTAGTCTGTCCCACTGTTTCATACCCACTGTGACTTTTTTTTTTTAAGTCATTTCCTGTGACTAGAAAGAGGCTGGTTTGACTATGTGTAGATTTGCTATGTCCATGCTTGCATGTTTCAGTGTAGTACAGATGGGGGTTGTTATTTCTGATGGCTGCAAGCTGTACATGGTTAAATACATATCTGTATATGAGTGTGTGTGTAGGATTTTGCATGGAAACTTAATTTAGATTTTATAAAAACAGTTTTATGGAAACAAAAGTGTAATAAATACAGCTCTTGATGTTAAAAGTTCATGATAAAAGAATTGAGTTTTTGAAGCCCATGCATAATGTTACATGCACTATATACTCTTGTTAAAAGAGTAATTAATTTATAATGCTTGTTATCAAGTAATTTTCTGAATTAATTGCAAACAACCACAAGCATAGGTAATTCCACGTATAACTATTTCAAACTGTGAAATCTCTATAATGTAGTAAAACAGTCTTAGGAGCAGCACAGTGTAAAACCTTGGAAAAGTCTGACTGTGTATCACATATAGACTTGATTTTGTGTAGTGTTACTGTTTCCAGTTTATTAAACTGCTTATAAGATGTTTAGGAGAATACTTTTCTGGCAGACTTGTTGGTGAAAAATAGTCTGTCAATAGCTGAGCAGACACATTGACACAATCTTGTCCACAAACTTTCCCCTTCCTTTTTTATTTCTACTGATAGAAGTTGAATGTTTCTAAATTGGATGCTATGCTATTATTAATTATTAAAAGATGTCTTTCTGCATCGTGCATACTTTGTGTCACAGTTGCAAGTGCTATGTTGCTTGAATTTACATACAAGACTGGCTTGGTTTTATTCTTGTTAAATACAAATGACGTTTTCACTTCGTTATTTTCCTGGAGTTATGCACTGAAGAAAAAAGGTCCTCTTTTGCACTAACCAGCACTTTTAGTGGGAGCTGTTTTCCCGGTTCCTCTGTTTGCTTATTACTTGTCATCCACTATGCATAAATATACAGTGATTGTATGCTTATTCTTTTTTGGTACAGTAACTGAATTTTGTGCAAGTATCTTCATAGAACTGTCACTTTAGCATCATCTAGGCAGACATACTTGAAGGTGGTGTGCCCCCAAGCATTGTAGATACATTCAAAGTGTGATAAGCATGAAAGAACGAACTGTGAAAGAGAGTTTATGTACTAGGCACATCTGTGTGTGTTTGCGTAGCTAATAATGTTGTGTTGTCTGACTGATTTCTAAAATTATTCAAGGTTAATTCAAGTATACTATCTGCATATGAAACCATTATGCAATTCGGCTAGGACAATGATGGACATTTGTAAGCTTCAAAAAATTTTACCATAAATTCCATAGTAGTAACTGAGTTGAGACTAGGAGGTGACCATTAGAGGAAATATAAATATAGAATCTCACACATCATGGCTGAAGTAACTACAATATTTTTTTAAAAGATAGGTTAAAAGCTGCATAAGAGAATGTGTTCATTGTTAGAAACTGAAATATGACGTTATATTCTAAACTGAAGAAAATAAGGCAGACTATCTATTTGGCAGAGAGAACTCTGCCGGGAAAGTGGGCTGTGTCAGGAATTTGAGTTTGCAAATTCCAGGAGTGTCTTCAGTTGCCCTTCAATTCCTTGTAGCCCAGTTTTTTATTCTGCCTGGTTTTATAGTGTAAGACTAATCTCACTGTAACTAATAGTAAAATCTATTCATATGACATAATTTTGGAAGATCAGAAGTGACTGAGTTTTTGTCTAGACTTGCTGATACAAGGAATAAATAGATGATTTGCAAATGTGTACTTATAAATGGTACAGATCTTTTTCAAATGAACTGAACTGAAAATTGCATTTATATTTCTAAATTTATAGTATAAAATGATTGTGCATAACAGTAAAAACAATCTTACAATTGAGGGTTTAGTGCAATTTCATTTATAAAGTTCCTCTTGAGCATCTATAAATTATTATATGGTTGGACTTTACATTTTTTCTTACTTATGTGATGGTTTTGATAATTGAGTTGTCTTTCATTTGTTACTTAGAATTGATAAGGAGACAGAAGACAGAAGGCAAAAAGCTATTGAGGAGGTAATAAAACTTTGTGCTATCAAATATTGTTTTGGTTTTTGTCCAAAAAAAAGGTCCACGTGTATTATAGGATTTCAAAACCCAAAAGCCTGTTATATTTCAGTAATAAAGTGATTTTGCATCCTCATCCATTGTAGTTGGAATCCACATGTTCTTTTTCTTCCCATCTTTTTTCACACACCTGTAGGACAGAACAACAGATTTTTTTTCTTTCATGTAGCTTGGAGAGTGTAGCTGTAAGCTAACTTATAAATAGTTAACTTCAGGTTACAAATAATGATTGAGCATTTGGGGCTTTACAGTAGCTGTTAGTGGTTTATTGCATTTTTAAAAATATTGCAGAATTTTGTGATTTCTTTTGTTCCTTCCAAAGTCTGCTTAGTTGGATGTATGACTTTATTGTGGTAGCTTGTATATATTTCCATCCATTTATTTTTTACTATCCGTTTGTACAGCAGAGAAAGACAAGTGTTTCAAATCTTCACTATAGAACTCTTAAATATAATTTCAATTTAAGAAAGGTAAAGTAAGGCTCTGGTAAGCAAGTCTGTCAGTTTCTGTCTCTACAAACAAAATGTATATTTTAGGATTCCATCAAGATGCTGTGTAGTTGACCTGCAGCTAAGATGTTCTGTTGTTCTAAATCTGCATTAAAAAGGGTATTTCTTCTTTGTGAGGTATAACCTAATGGATTCTGCAGCTGAACAGCTTGAAACCATGTCTCTGATAAAAATTACATCTTTAATAGTTGTGTTTCAAGCTGAGTTTTTTTCTTTTACTTTGAGTCTTGCATTTATTGTGAAAACAAGATTTGCCATGTGTTTCTTGAAGCTATGTAATAGTGTTCATCTCCTCAGCATCAGGGCGTTCCATAGTGCAGCTGTGATGATAGATACATTTTCTGGTTCAAAGAAAAAGACTGAAATGCCAGTAACTCATAAATGTTTCACTGCTAACCAGTTTAGCCAAATACATTAATAATGTTGCCAAAAAGCCTTGGTTTATCACTTTTGCTGCAGTGTCTCTTTATCACTTCTGTGAAATAGCTCAATTGTCAAAATACGACTTGACAAACTGAAAATTTGTAAAGAATTATTTTAAACTACTGTGCAATAAGTGAGGCAGTGACAGTTCAAATTTTTAAATGAGTAACTATTGTTAAAAGAAACTTTTCTTCCGTTTTCACTCTGAAAGATCTGCAGTGCTATGTGTCATAAAGAATATGGGGGTCTTCAACTTATTTTTTCTTTAATCTCTCTGGGTCTGAAATAATGAAATAAGTTCTGCAGTTTTTCTCGTTCAAGGTACTGATCTAAATTTAAGTTGAGAATCACCAACTTTTTAAAAGTGCTGAGATGCTTATTTTTATTCTGCTCTAGTTTTTCACAAAAAGGCTCATAGTTCCTTCTCCTTGGATTGAACATGAAGGCAAACAAGTTTCTCAGTTTAATTCAACTAAATGTAAGTTGCTTTTGTGTGTCTGTCCAAAATAGTTTAGCTTTTGGAGAAATTATCAAGCATAATTTGTTTCAATCTTAATTTAAATTTTAAGAACTGGTGATAAAATATGGCACAACTGATAGATTTTCAGCTGTTCTCTCCAAGTGCTCTCTTTAAGAATTATTTATTAATCAAGTCTCGTATAGTTTTTCATTTTTATTATTTTTGGTTCTTGTTCTTAAATCTTTTTACTTTAATAAACTTGTTTTTAACCAATTTAATTTGCATACAGAATTGCACTGTTGATACTGGTAATAGCCAAGTGTTCTACTTTGCTTTTTATTTCTGATATTTACATGTCCTCCTTATTCTGACTGCTTTCCTCACCATATAAGCATATGAGAAATGGAGTTCCATATTTTTTTACCCTTGCCGTTGTTGCTAAGACCCGTTGTCGTCTTAGCGTTGTTCTAACTCATAGTCACTGCTCCTGGGTTTCCGAAGTTCATTATGGTTATGCCCACGTGAGATTTTATTCTTAATGCTATTGTTACTGAAGTTTATATATAACCAGCAGAATACATAGTAAATGGACTACAAGCTGGACAAATGTCAGATATAAAATATTGTTGGGTAGGAAATTCTTAAATAAGTGGTGATTTTTCAAGATTTGGAAAAGGCTAAACTTAAATGTTTTTTATCAAGGAGATGCAGCTTGTGGATAGTGTATTTTTAATTGTGAGTTGTAAGATCATCATTTTTTGAGCAGATAACATGAGCCACAATCTGAGATCTGGAAAAGTGAACGGTAAAGGAAGATGGTCTCATGTGTTCTTTAGCTGTATAAAAAAACTAAAATATTTCTTCACCTCGAGTCCAGACTGAGTGATTTTATAGAAATGTGTTCTACTTGAACACAGACTGTTTAGCTAAGTGTAAACCAGTTTGTTTTAAATCTCTCTAATGTAGAGAAGGCTGCAGGAGACAAAGGTCTGAGCAACGCTGATGGTATTTCACTATGCTTTGTTTGAATAGAAAGGTGCTGAAATTCTCTTAATCAGCTATAATGGTAACCTTTTTTCAGTACTCCTTTTTAATCTCTTCCAAACTTTGATGCAAAAGTTTTGTTTAGTTGTATTAAATATTCTAACTCTATATGCAATGCATGCTTAAATTTAAGTTCTTCTGTGTTTTACAGCCATTGATCTAAATAACATTTCTCCAATTGGAAGACAGCTAAGCTTGCAGCCTGGAAAGAGCAATGGTGAGTAAAAGGCAATGTCTGAAATTACAGGCTTTCTCTGAAGCAAAATAACCCATTTTAAATGGCTGTTTAATTTAAAAGGGGAATTATTTGTTTGTTAATATTGCTGTAGAAATAGTTTTTCTTGAACTGAATGGTATTATTAATTTTAATGTCCATTTCTCATACTAATTTAATTCTGTTACACTCTCTGGTATTTCTTCTGAAGTAAAAAATGAAGTCCCCTGTAAGACTGTGGGGTGCATTTTTTCCAACTCAATGTATGCACTTTTTCTGAATTAAGAGGTGAATGTAAACCTCAGGTTTATGGGTAAATTACAGTTTCAAGAAACCTTTAATGTTTTGGATTGTTAAGGGTTAGAGAATCTTGATTATTTTCTATGCCAAATAAATAGCAGAGATCTTAATACATCTTTTAAACTGTATCATTTTAGATAAATAGGTAGTGTTTTTCTCCAGGGTAATTTGATGATTTTTCTCTCATTTCCTTTTGAATCCTTCCTTTCTTCAGAGACCTCTTTCCTCAGTTAATATAAAAGCCTCTAGAGAGGCATTCTTACAACTCCTGGGTTTTTTATCTCTAGGCCTAATGTGCTGCATATAGTGTTGTCAAATCAGAATCACAGCTTTAATTAACACTTTTCCTTATTGCAGCTGTAATTTAAATAGCTCAATTGTGGTGCGATTTGAAAGTGAATGTTTGTCTACAGTTTTAGTAAAAGGTCACTAAGCTATTTTTGTTGGTTTTATTCATTGCAGCTGCTTGTCAGACAGTACTGTCTTTGCCAGTGGATATTAATCTAGAGAAAATACTAGGTATGTCATGCAATATCTGTATTTATGAATGTCTAAATGTTTGCTGGGTGTTTTTGTCTTATGAAATACTGAGAACCAAATGAATGAACGAGTTTTAAGTATGTGTTCTAAATGGACAGTGTGTGTTGCACAGGACGTGACTTTAATGATATGATTTGAGTGTGGACGTAAAGACAGAAAAGGAGGGATATGGAGGACAACTGGAAATTGTTCAGCCTGGAGGATGCTGAGGGGAGACCTCATTGCAGTATACAGCTTCGTCATAAAGGGAAGCAGAAGGGCAGGCACTGATCTCTTCCCTGCGATGACCAGTGACAGGACCTGAGGCAATGGCCTAAGTTTTGTCAGGGGAGGTTTAGGTTGGATATTAGAAAAAGGTTCTTTACCCAGAGGATGGTTGGACACTGGAACAGGCTCCCTAGGGAAGTGGTCACAGCACCAAGCCTGCCAGAGTTCAAGAAGTGTTTGGATGATACTTTCAGGGACGTGGTGTGACTCTTGGGGATGGTCCTGTGCAGGGCCAGGAGTTGGACTTGATGATCCTTGTGGGTCCCTTCCAACTCAGGATATTCTATGATTCTATGAAATTGATTAACAGTTAACAAATGCATAAAAGGTAGTAAGCAGAAGATAACTCCTGCCTCCCCCAAACAGAGCAGTTACTTAACTCAGCAGAGCTGTTTGACTTACAGATGACTGGTTGTGAGACTCATAGCCCAACCTTACCTTGAGTGAAGCTGTGCTGTAACCCTGCCTTTAATTTAACTGAAACCATGGTGGTGACTAGAAGTTATGTGGTAGCAAAAAAGCCATGACTGCTGAGTGAGGATGCAACAGAGGCAACAGTCCAAATTAACTCTCTGATTATAAATGCTACGTCAAGCAATTGCTACCACCTTCTCAAGCTTCTCAGGCTGGAAAGGCCTGTTCTTACTGCTCATGTGGGAACAGTGGGTACAACCAGCTCAGAGGGTTTCGTCTGCGTGCAGCTATCCCAGTATTGAATTTCACAACCCTGACTGTGGGTCATCAAAATTAAAACAGAAAAGCAATACCGTATCTATTGCCTTTGTTTTTTGTCTTAACAAATGCTTCCATCAACACATAATTTTTGAGTTCATTAAAAATTTCTTCTACAAGGAATATCCAGTTAGTTTAGTTTTTCTTGGGTAGTAAAATAATCACTTTTGCACTTTTGCAACTCAGATGTGAGGAATTGGGAAAAGACCAGTAAGTAGATGCTAGCCTATATATATACTTTTTTTTTAATTCAGACCCTAGTATTAAGCGATGATAAGCAGAAGTGGAACCTTTGTGGACAGAGTGGACTTTTTGTAGTGGTAACAAGCAATCCTTTGGGATAGGTGCCTAATTAGATTAATGATTTGCTGCATTGGTCAATTGGATTAAATGCTTTAATTTAGTTATATATCTCTCTGTAGTAAGATTTTTTTTTTTCTGCATTCTTATTGGAAACAACTTTTTCCCGTGATTTCTAGGTGAATATTTTAGAACTGAAGAATTTGAAGATCAGTCTCAGGAAAATCTAAGCTCTTCATCACTCAGAAGAAAGCTGTTTTTAGAAGAAAATGGAAGTGTATCTGCATGTTTGTCCCCTTCTCTGCATAGTCCATGCAGTAGTCAGCCACTTGGAGTGCTTTGTTCAATAGAACTGTCTCCAGTCCGGTGCAGAAGCCCTCTGGACACATCTAGTTCAGTAAGTGGCCTGTTTCGTGGACTGGATGGGATGTGCTTTATGAAGGAGTAGGTGCTAGACTTAAGGATGGTGGTTTGTTTTTTTTTCCAAATTCAGAAAAAAATGTGTGAAGTAAAAGTATTAAAAGAATACATTACTGACTTTTTATTTTATCAAATTATTTTGTTGTGCTTGCTATTCTTTTGTGTAGAAGGAATTATTTTCTAATGTTATGAAATGGAAGTAGAAATTAAAACATGCAAAAGACTTGCTGAAAGCATGTTGAAACCCATTCTTCATAAAATGTGTATACAAAAAAAGTCCTGTTTAAATGCATGAACTACTCTCTAAAATACCAGTTGATATGAACTTATGATATAATTATTTCGCTTATAGCTCATAAACTCATTTATAGTGGAAGACATTAATGTGAATCTTTGAATGCAGGGCTAAATGTGCTTTTTTTCTTTTCCATTGACCAGAGTTTTCAGATGAATAGACATTTATTAGAACACAGAACATAATGACTGTTCTTTAATTGAAACAAAGTAAACCTTATTCCCGGGTGGACATAGCACAGTGGAACTGGTTTAGGTGATATGGTTTCATCTGTTTGGTGGCTGAAGTGCATGGAAAAAAACTACCCTAGGAATAGTGTGGCTTAAAAAAAAGTTTACTATGGTAACCTAGTAAAGAATTCCTATAACAGAATAGTAGTCACGTTCTTGCAGTATAATGCTCTTTTCTTAAGGAGAAATGGTTTCATGTTTTGTCTGCTGCTGAAGTAATTCAGAAAATATGGATTACATTAAAATATTAATAGTGGCTGACTTTCATCAGCATTGATATGAGCAAGAAATTTAGATCGGATACTTGACTAGATACACAGATAGCATTAATTCTCTAGTTTAAGTTTCTCAGAGTTCTTAAATCTAATGGATGTAGTAGGCCTAGTTGGTATTATGTGACAGTTTGAGTCCATTGCTCTCTTCTCCTGTGTGGAGGCATAAGGTCCAGGTAAAGAGCTGCACTGAAATATTTAAGCTAAACTAATGATAGAGATTGTCACTGTAGAGGATTAGTCTTTCTCAGTGCTGGCATATTAAACTTTTAAATTAGAACACTTTGGAACACTTTATATATATACATATTAGCCAAAGTTAATGTTATGAAAATATGCTGTGTGGTTTTGATTTTTTTTTTTTTTTTTTTTTTTTTTTCCTGAAGGGCCAGTTTTCTTCAAGTCCTATTCAGGGAGGAACAAGAGCTTACAGTCTGGGAAGTATAACCAGTCCCACATTTTCAGAGGGGTCTCCTGCACGTAGTGGTTCTCCTACTTTTTCACCAATTGCTTTTCACATAAGAAAAACACCACTCTCAGGTATGGTTTAATTGTATATGTTATTATTTCTTGAGTCATATATTTTTATTATAAAAATTTTTATTATAAATTTTTTTTATTTTAAATTTTTTTTATTATAAAAATGTTTTGTTATAAAAACTGCTGAATTCTTAGGGGAACCTATTTCTGTTAGGAGACAAGTTATTATGCTTGGCAGACCAGCAGTCTCCTCCTATATGACACATTTACTGTTTAGCAGTGAAATATGTGAGACAATGAAATGTATATGCTTAGAAAAAATCAACTAGGGAAAATATTTTAGAACCAGACATTGAGACCTTAGAGGAATGAAAAAAGTTAGAAGGGTTAATCTAGTGTGGGAGGTAGTTTAAAGCCACATGTCTGAACTGTCAGGTCACAATTCTGATTTGGCCCAACCTGAAGCATTTTAATGTCAATGGACAAAGAATGTTTAGACTGAGTTTTCAAATCATGCAATCAGGAAGATTATTTGAAATGAAACTGACGAGTGAAGAAGTGACAAACATTTTGTGTCTTTGTTGCTCTAGAAAATGTCGGTATTTCATGCTGTGTCCATAACCTGGAAAGGCTTTAACGCCACGTTTATGCGTGATTTTGATGTTATGAGCCTTGTGGTATTTAATACCATTATATGGGGAGATTGCATATGTGTTTTCTCACTTGTTTGATCATCTTAAACTTTATTGATGCCAAAAATTAAATACCTATAGAATATATGTATTGATACTTGTTTGGGGAAAAACCCACAGAACCAGCCTTCACACACTTTCCTTTGAATACTGTGTAGTATTGACATTTGAAAATGGAAGGTCTACAGTGCAGTAAACCATGTCACAGAAAACAAATTTGGTGGTAAAAATGGGAAAGAAACTTGCCTTTACCATGATAGTTAAAATGTGCTGCTGGTTTGTTTGGGGTTGTTTTGTTTTATTTGGTTGGGAGACTGAGGTCAGTGAAATGCTATTTAGTTGGCTGTAAATGATTCAGTGGACTGTAGGCCCTTGAGGATGATGAATTTTTTTTATTAGCTATTATGTGTAATTTAGCTTTGTTGGTTTTTTTTTACAGACCAAAGAAAATTTACATTTCGGTCTCCAGATATTCCTTCTTCCTCAAATAGAATGACACCGCCAAGTACAAGAAGTCCTTACATAGATGATTGTTCTCCAATTAAAAATTGCTCTCCTATGAGGCTTGGAGCTTGTAGAGGGACTGCCCAGTATCAGACTTCTGTCATTAGAATACCAATTGCAGTTGAGACTCATGATGAGGATGAGGAAGACAAGGAAAATGCTTCTCCAGCAGAAGCTCGGTTCCCAGAAATGGATAATGGAATAAACTTATGTCAGGAAGACAGTGATACTTTTGCACATGGTACACATCTTGTGGTAGCAACTGTGTCTATTGCACCAGATCACTCAGAAGCTTGTCATCAAAGGTTGTCATCATTTCAGGATATAGAAGGCTTAAAAGAAAATAATACTGTAGATATGGCTGATGCAGCTGAAGTGTCAGAGGAAAACACTTGGATAAAAGAAACAATTGGCAATAGCAATACACCAATGACCAGCTTTATGACAGGCATTACTTTCAGTATTGAAAGCTCTCGGATGTGCATGTCACCTCTTGCTGAAAGCAGTGCAATTCCTTGTGACAACAGTAGTATTCAGGTAAAAATAAAATTTTTTTTTGCTTCTCTATGAAACTGAACTGGACATAATAACTTTGAATACATATATTATTCTGGAAGTAATTATTATTTTCTTGTATTGGTTGTGGCATGCTGGTGGTATCATGACTTTTATCGCTTCCCTCCCATCCCGTCTTTGCTCTCAGTGGAGTTAGCATAGCAATTACAAATTATTTTTGTGTTGCTCTGTACAGCAATACATTTAACTTAATCCAAGCTAATTCTGACAAACCTGCTTACAATTTGCTTTTGTTGTTAACTGATTGTAGTTGGTTTGTTGGATTAAGTTCTGTTAATCAAATGAAAATCATATCAAGTATCTGAGGGATTTATTGGTATTACAATTACAGTACATTTTTCAAGCCCTGCTTCTTGATTTCAGGTGGACAGTGGTTACAACACACAGACTTACGGAAACAGCATTATGGATACTGCGGGGGCTGAAAACAGCTGCAGAGAAAATGATGTGAATACTGTAGTTTTTCAGAATAAATCTCAGATGCTTAGAACAAAGGTAGGAGTTAAATTGTGATACAAAAGTGAGAGGCTTCCCATCTAAAGCATCCATTCCCCATTTTGTTTGGTTCCAGGGAGCCTGAGGGGAGAGACAGTGAGGTGATATTAAAGATGTTAATGTAGTGTCATTTCAAGTATGTCGAAAATGGAGAATAAACGCAGGAAAAATTATCTTAAGGTGGCAATAAAATTAATGTGTTTTAAGACAAAGGCAGGTTTTTTCAGAGGAAACTGAGGTACATATGTGAATGGTAGTTGTGAGGCTTCAGATGTATTGGAGTCTGTCTCTTATTTTTGTTTCTGTTGTTCTTGCTGCTTTCTTTTATTGCTAAATTTTTAAATGTGTGCCTGTGGAGAAGGACATTTTTTGGGGAAAATCGTCCGCTGCTGATTTTCATAAACTCATTAGTAAGTTTCTTAGACCATACCTAGCATGCTGACTTGGTGGGTGACTTCCTGCTTGGGTACAGTACAAGTGCTTTGATTACCTACCTGAAAAAAAGAATTACAAAAGACAATACATATCTAGCAAGACTCCTAAACCAATAATATTGTGACTGATCGGAAGGAGTTCTACTTCTTGAAGAGAATTGGAAGCAAGGCTGTTTTCCTTAGAGAAGAGAGCAAAGATCATCTCCTCTCACTTAGTAATTATGGTATTATGGTCTTACAAACTTCTGTCAAGCTCTCAAATGACCTTAAGGCTGTTAAAAAGAAACCCTGCATTCATTCCTTCACTTTGCAGAAACATTTATCTTCACTCACAAGACAAAGGTGTAGACAATAGCTGGTTTTAAAAATACTGTTCTGCATACATAGTCATAAAAAAGTTGCTTAAAAAATTTTTTACAGATTATTAAAATACGTATTTAAAAAGTAAACAAAACTAGTTTCTTGCATTTTGCCCATAGGGAAAAAATAAGTAAATGCAAATAATTGTGTGATTTCTTGTTAACTTTGATATTCAACTATTTTTGTAGCTTCTTTTTCTTTTTCTCCGGTTCATTCTCACTGCTCGCCTCTGTAGATGGATTTGCAGACACATCCTTTCCTAGTATCTACAGTAAGGGAAAAAAAAAAAGAAGTCAAAACATTTTTGACTCAATTTTTTTCTATCCTGGTAAAACTTGAGTTTACTTTTACATACAGTGCGTCAACATCAGAACATTTTGATTTAGAAAATCATCTGCTACAAGACAGTGTGGAAATCAGAACTGGGAAAAGATCAAATTTACAGACCAAGACTATAGACTGGACCCAGAGATGTGTTTCTCTCTGTGAGACAGTATTTAAGTGGCTGGAACCTTTGGATGGACACAAAGGGAATGATCACTGCATGTGCATCTTATTCCTATATTCCTTTCTAACTAGAAAGGAAGACTAGTAACTGATATTTAGGATGACGGAGTATTTTGGATTAACCAGTACAGCCAATCGTGGATCAAGGGATAACCTCAAATTACAGCATTTATTTTGTTGTAGAGTAAGGACCTTCCCAGAAATTCGTACAAGTAGAATGGAAGAACAGGGGAAAAAAAACCCAAACCATCAGCTTGTATTAGTCTTACTTTGTGTCTGTTTTAAAAGTGTGTCCCTTGGACTGGAGTCACAGCTGCAGGAATGTTCCTGAGTCATGCCCCCGCAGTAGCTCTGTTGGTGAGCTTAGTTGGTGAGCACAAACAAGGGGCAGCTCAGAAAGTGGATGTACAACAGAATACAACGGTTCTTTTCTATTACAAATTTCATTATCTACTCTCAGTTTTTAAAATCACAAGGATTAGTTTCAACTCAGTCCAGTCTGGGGAGGATGAACAAATGGAGAGCAGCCCTACCAAGAAGGACTTGGGGGTGCTGGTGGATGAAGGGCTGGACATGAGCTGGCTATGTGTGCTTGCAACTCAGAAAGGCAGTTGTATCCTGGGCTGCATTGAAAGCAGAGTGGCCAGCAGGACAAGGGAGGTGATTTTGCCTCTCTGCTCATCTCTAGTGAGACCCCATCTGGAGCACTGCATCCAGCTCTGGGGTGCCCATCACAGGAAGGACATGTTGAAATGAATACATAGGAGGGAAACCAAGATGATCAGAAGGATGGAGCACCTCTCCTATGAGGAAAGGCTGAGAGAATGGGGATTGTCCAGCTTGCAGAAGAGAAGGCTCCAGGTAGACCTCTGAGCAGCCTTCCAGTACCTGAAGGGAGCCTACAAGAAGGCTGGAGAGGGACTTTTCACAAGAGCTTGTAGTGACAGAAGTGGGAAGGGTTTTAAGTGGGCAGGTTTAGATTAGCTATTAGGAACAAATTCTTTACTGTGAGAGTGGTGAGACACTGGAACAGGTTTCCCAGAGAAGCTGTAAATGCCCCATCCCTGGAGGTGTTCAAGGCCAGGTTGGATGGGGCCTTTGAGCAACCTGGTCCATTGGAAGGTGTCCCTGCCCATGGCAAGGGGGTTGAAACTAGATGATCTTTAAGGTCCCTTCCAACCCAAACCATTCTATGGTTCAAGATAATAAAAGAGCTCAAAGATCAGAATATTTACATGCATTTGGAAACATGATTTCTCAAGGAAAAAAGAAATAATAATGTTTGACTGTATAAACAACAAGGAGCTCTTGCATATTTTGGGTTGTCTTTTTCCTCTATGATTAGGGCTACTCAATTACTGCAACCATATGTTTACAAAGAAAGTCACATGTAACTTTAAGTGCACAATCTTGTAATGTCTTGCAAAATACTTAACAGGCCTAAGGTGTGAGACCAAGTGAAAAGCCCAGTGTCCCAGATGCACTAATAAGCTGGAATTGAAAAATCTTAAGCCAGAGGCAGTTACTAGGACATTACAGTTTGTACAACATTATCAAGAGAAAATTTTTATATTGTGGGAGTTGTAGGACAGAACTGCCATGACAGCCAGCAATTATACAGAGTTAACTTCTGAGCCACCCATCACACTGCAATTCACTGGAGCAAAAAGATCATACTGAGTTTTGGCAGATTTTCAAAGAGAGATTTGATTACAGAACAGTGAAATTCAAGATACTACTTCAGCAAATCATCACCTTTCCCATCAACGGAAATATCCCAATGGGCCCAGAACAGAAATTTAATTTAGACACCTCTATTCTTTTCAACAGCCAGTGAAAGCAGACCTCTGTTCTACCGAGAGTGGAGATGAAGCAATCATCACAAGCTCCTGCTAAATTGTTTTTCTTTTCTTCTGGTTAAATTTCAATTTTACCACATGACAGTTTTGTAACATTATTGAAGGGTAATATGGTTCTGTGAATTTTGTGCCTTACCTTCGGTTCTACCAAGACCATCCGCATTTTCTGATGTTGGATGTTGGAATCATCTAACGTAATGTTCACTTTAACTTTATCAAATACATGTAATGTTGTGTCTTCCACAGTAAGTGATGGTACCTGAAAGTTCATATTTTGTATAAATACTTGCAATGTCTTATGTTTTTATAGAAATAAATATTTTTGTAGGAAAATTCAATCTTACATGTAAATAAAAATGGTCACAAATTAGTGCCATAATATCTGGTACACATAATTAGATATCAACAGTATCACAGAAACCTGTTTGTCAGAACCTGTTTATTTAGACTTACAAATACTATAGCAGCACTACTACTATGGATTAATAAACTTGCATTTAGAAAAACCTCTTGTACCCTTCTAAATCCAACTACAATACACTTTAGTCATTCTGCTCAATTACCAAATAAAAAAATAAAGGTATTTAAGAGCAAACCTTAAGAATAATAAGAACACACCTCATTGTTGTAATCCAGTTTTGGTGTTGGTTTGTCTTTTTCTTCAAAGAAGACTGTTCCTTCTAACCCATACTTAGGGATCAGAACCACAATTGCGTTTTTTCTTACAAATAATATATATGCATCTTCATTTACTACTCCCTTGGTTTTGAAGAATAACTGTAACAAAAGTAAAATACAGAAATAAAAAAAAGCACTAGAACATTCTCTTCTGAATTACAGATATACTGCCTTAGAAAAATAAAACATTCAAATACCAATCTATACGTAATGAGAATTACACAGCATATATTGAAGGCAGATTTAAAAAAAAACCCATAAGCCATTTATAACATTACTGTAGTATTAAGCATTCACCATATTTATAAAAACCACAAAACTAAAAGACCTCTTAAGATGCCATTATTCCGAATTTTTCAGAACAAGCAATGTAGCCTTTAAGCTTTTCCTCAAAGAAGCATCCCTCAACCTTGATCATTTCTGCAGACCTGCTTGGTTTTGCACTATAAAGTACCAGTGTTCCCCCCCTTGCTTTAAAATCAATGTGAATGTCCATGGTTAACCCTGTAACATCTCAGGACTACTTACCTGTGTATGGAATGCGACAGATGCTCTTTGTGCATATTGTGCCATTTTATGTCGGTAATTGAGATTTTTACACATATCTGCTAGTTTATGTTTATCTGTCAGTTCTGGGTAAGTACTGTCTGCTCCTATGGCCACTGCCAAAAGCCGATGCACTATAATATCAGCATACCTGCAGAGATGAGGTTAAACGATCAATGACATAGAAAAACATATTTTTTGAAAATTAAAAAGTTTCTGAATATAAGTTTGGTTTTGTGAATCTTACAGAATCTAAAAGTTTTTGTAATAATGACAGTCTGATGGCAACTCCCTGAATCAATTCAAGATCACTCTCTTTGCTGACCAAAGATGCGCTGCAGAGCCAGAATGAACTATACTGTTTTCTATATTGTATCAATAGAGCCTGTATTGTTGAATGCTTACAAAGAAGAAACAAAGTTTTATTTTTGGATTAAAGAATTATTTAGCATAGAATAGTATTACAATGCCATTGATCTGCAAAATGTAATCCCATTTGAACTTCTTAGTACATAACTTTTATTAGAACCTCAGCAAGGAACTTTTTTAACACATCTAGTAGGAATTAAAGTTACTATTTGGACCCTAGAAATTCCCCAAATTATCCACATAAATATGTAGGAATTTTAATCCGCATGTAAAGACATTTCACTTGAAATGTTTCTAAGGAGCAAAAGATGATAGCAGTTATTTTCCTCAAAACTCTGATAATCCTTGGTTAGAATTAAAAAAACAACCTACTTTTTGAAGTACCATTTCATTACAAGGCAACAGCTACAAAAGCAAGTTTCCAATTAGCAGAGTTTTCACATGTAAAGTACAGTCTCCTCAAAATTTAAACGCAGCTTCCATCTAAAAAGTGACTAGGCAAACTCTGCCTCAGTCTCTGGTTGAGATTAATGCTAACTGACCCCAAAGTGCATTTCTATGACAGAGATCTGTATTAGGGATATATTTCTATTACTTTTATGGGTCTTTTAAAAAAATGTACTAAATCTTAAGAGTTGTGGACAATAAATTTGGGAGCTTACATGAAGATGGATCATGATTTAAGCCACTGCTGTTTCAACTGAAATCTAACACTGAACAGAAACAGTACTTTGTTTCAAACAGACCACAATTTAAAATAGAATTTCTTCACAAATAAATCACTTCTTTTTGTTCTCTGAAACTTCTGTAAAATAAAAGTACCTTCTAATAGGTGAGGTAAAGTGGGTATAAATAGGTGAAGCTAAACCATAGTGATGAAAATCATTATCCATTCCAGAGCAGAAATAAACAGCTTGCATCATGCAACGTGTGGTCAAAATTCGCAACAGTGTATTTAGGTAGGGGAATGTAGGAGATTCAGCTTTGTCTAGTGATTCAGCTAAAGCCTTTGCTGAATCTGTCTTGATTTCCAAATTCTGAAATGAGAGAAGAAGAAATATAATAAAGGTCAGGTATTACTAGCAAATGTTAAGAGTATAAGCAGAAATGCAACAGCTACATCCATGGTAATCTTAGCAACTGGCACAGGTATCACACCTAATAACATAATGGAATGCAACTATTACAAAAATAAAAATCTACCCACGCACAGGTCCCTCCCTCATTATTACTAGCGTTCCATGCAAAACATGAAATGTCATTAGCCTAGGAATTCAGAAAATACATCAATTCTCAATTAAAAAAAACATTGTATGCCAATATTACTAAGTTGCTTTTTCCCCCGAATAAATCAGAAGGAATATAATCCCCCCCATATTTATGCCACACAGAGATTTTCATCCAGGCACAAGGTAATTGACTTTGTTGTATTTCCTCCGCAAAATTATTATAAAAGTGATTTGTAAAACTAGTACTGTATGTCAGTTTGCTCCCTGTTTGCCAGTGTTCTCCGATAAAAATTCAGATAGTGTGAAAATACAGTGCATTTTAGATTTTCAGAAACACAAAGCAAGTTTCATCACAAGATCAGTTGAATGCTCTTTCCTTCATGTACACCACTGACAACAAAGTATGATCCAGCGATCAAATTATGCCTGTATTATGGTAAAATAATTGCATACTTAAAAAGTATAAATACAGCATATTAATACCTACTTGTGATGGTTGTGTCAAAAGTAGTGAAAAAACCACTTTGGTTTATTTAAAAGAATGTTTATCTATGCACAGAAATTTACCTTTCCAAATAAAACAGTACTTTAAAAATAATTTTCAGAGCACAAATGAAATCATTATCATTATTCCAATTTTATGCCAGTGGAAAATTAAATGGGCTAGGTTTCAGCTCGTCTATTAATCTCACACTGAGAGATTTTGGGAGTTTCTCTCTTGCCCTTAGGAAATCAGAAAAAAGGGGTGAGGAAAGAGTTGAAGAGAAAGTAAATATGGATGCACATCAGAGTATCTACAAAGTTAAAAGTTTAGCTCGAATAAAAGATCCTGAAACTGAAAAAATAGGGTTTTTTGTTCAGACTTGTTTCAGGCTAAATAAACCTTTAGCTGATCTAAGGAGAGGATGGAAACTATAAACACAATTTCTTACTTCCTGACTTTGAGAGAAATTGACTGACCAATTTTTAAGTACATCAATAATGTATATGATCCAAAGCCAAAAACTGGCTCAAAAATCACATGTGACTTGGAGAGGAGAAACATTCACAGCATACAAGTGTTACAATACAAGACTTTAGAGAATGATTTACTTTCTTAACCTAAGAAAGGGTTTAAAAAACTCAAGAGTCTTGAGTTTTCATCTAGAGGTACAATTATCTTGCTACAAGTATCAGCACTTTCAAAGGGTAACTGATACACTTTCAAAATACTGCTTTCCAACCCTTACTCTTGGGTAAGTGGCCAACCAGAGAGAAAACATGGCTTTTCATAATGAATTCACTTAATTAACATGGTAAAAACTTGCCTTGGACTTCGCAGCCTTCACAAGGATGTCATAATTTGATGGGGGAGGAGCAGGATGTTTCCGGAGCAAGGCAAACTCTGGGAACTCATCATAAATTTTTTGTGCTACAGAAATGTTGGCAAGCAACATGAACTCTTCAACCATGGAATTTGTTTCTCTATCGTGATAAAATATTTTATATTGTTAGAAATGCATTAAATTATACATTTATTTTGAGTGCCTAATGAAGAAACATTTCACAATCCTAACAATATTTTATAATATTAACTAGTGGTTTTGATTATTTATACCCTTAGGCAAGCAATTCCAAGACTAAAAACATAACACTTATTAAGTTTCAAACAGAGTCAGAAAAAACCTGAAATACTCTAGAATATCAAATTAAAGAAAAATGCCCTTTAAAAGGCCTGAAAAGGCCAACAGATAAGCCTCTTGATTTCTTCCTAAGAGTACTGTTAAAATATTGCACATATGAAGTTTGAAAGCACCATTTTGCACACCATAAAGTTGTGACAGTATACAGAACCTAGTGTAGATTTTAGCACAGAAACTAAGTAGTAGTATGCAAGACAGTATTTTATCTTCAGAAATTGAACCAATAGTCCTGTTACTAGAACTCCTCCGTAAAATTGTAGCACTGCGTATGTGCCATAACTGCTCAGTTGTTCGTGAAGTTTCAGTAATCTCTAACTTCCAAGTTCTAATTTCTCTCCTTTGTTACTACCAGTAGAAAAGCACCACAGAGAAGCCACTGGGATGTAGAGTTTGAAACTTTAGTGCTCTGTTGAATCAGTAGTAAATACACCAGTTCATATATGAAGAATACAGTTCAAAACTTGCTAAACAAGTAGTGGAGTACAGGAATTCTCTTCCAAGGATCAGCTTGCTCAGTGAAGTTGTTGATGTCCCATCCCTGAAAATATTCAAGGCCAGGTTGGGTGGGGCCTTGAGCAACCTGGTCTAGTGGAAGGTGTCTCTGCCTATGGCAGGAGAGTTGGAACTAGATGATCTTTAAAGGTCTCTTCCAACCCAAATCATCCTCTCTATCTATGACTGTCCCGCACTATTATAGGAACTTTGTACACTATTAACTGAATGTTTCTACTTAAACATGTCTTTAAATCAATCCCTACCCTGAATTAACTAATAAATAAAATGCATACTTGAGCTCCTTAGTCTGCAGATCAATAGGATCGTGAGTTTCACTGTCCATGTGGAAACGAACTTCTGGTGACGAAAGTGTTAAGGCTCTGGAAGGCAGTAAGTGGTATTAATGAATTACAGTAAAGCAGACAGAGCAGCTGAGCTGCAAGCCTGTACACAACATCTATCATGAAACTATAATTTAAAATTAGCAGAAATTGTGCAATTAATGTTCAAATTTGCAGAAACTGTCATGCTGATACATACCATAGTAGCTCCTAAAATTTCAAATGCTACTCATCTGGTTATGTTTTTATAATGACTTTAAGAGATCTATATTGACTGATCTTGTGAAGAAAAAGTTAACATTTCAAGTTTATATTTTTGGGGAAATGAAGATAAGCATTTTTATGCAAATCAGAATGGGACAAATACTTCTCTTTTTTTAAGATTTTTCACTAGAAAAATGGATATAGGACCATCATACATTTTAACTACAAAAAAAGTCAGAAAAAAAAAAGCAGGGAAAAAGGTAATAGGTACACTGCCTGGTTTACCCATTCTCGATTCTTTTCTTCTTCAGAATTTTTGCTAATTTGTTTAGTCCACGAAGGCTGGTAGTAATGTCATCATTCATAGTTGCTGAATCAATTCTCATCTGTGCTTCGGCATATGTAAGAGAAGCCTTGAAGACATTAAAAAAAGGAGAGACATCAAGACACATAATTGAATACATAGTTCTGTCTTGCAGAAAGTGCAGCTTCACAATAATATAAAGTTAAATGCCTGTCATCCTCAAAGAATAGTGGACAAATGAGGACAGATCTATGCAAGATATTAAGAAATACCATGCATTTTATTGTTTTTATGCTGATCACAGATGTATTTTATACATCAGAGATCTAATTTTCAGAAAGGTATTAAACATCTACAGTATTTAACTGAATCCACAGTATTTAACTAAAAATATAACTAGCTGGTATATATCAACCATGTCCTATATATATATCATATACCAAGTAACCATACACAAAAACATTGCAGCATTAGAGGCTTAAAAGAGGGCAGAATATAATATTTTCTTTATTTTTAGGATTCCACCATAATTTGTAAGTCTAAGAAAATGTAAATCAATAAGCAGAAAGAAAACTTATATTATCAAGTTTGTTGATCATAGTTTTTATAATACAGCTTTCAGCTTTTTTTCAGAAGTGTAATAATATTTATGTGACTAACCTTGGAATTAATAATACTCTTTGTAAATCTGGTTTTTAGAATTTCAGCCTTGTGGTTCATCTCCCAAATACATGAAAATGCAAGTCTATAAGAGGGAGAAGGAGAGGAAAATCTGTTAAAATCCATACATAAACACATGTAGTTTCTTGTCAGGATCAAATTATGGATCATATGCATATACCTGTCCACATTAGATCTCAGGGAGCATAAGTTGGAACTAAGTAGCTCTGGAACCATATCAATCCTCTGCAAAGTAAAGAATAAAAATCCTAAGTAGTTAAAAGTATGTATTTTAACTTACTGATTTTTAATATACTGAGGTATATTAAATAATATAATAACGACTTTTTTTTTCTATGAAAGCTCAGATTTCTGAAAGAAAAGTATGCTACATTAAGGAAATTCATTCCAAGATCCATTTAAATTATCTTTTTTTTTAGTAACTGTTATTTCTGAAAAAATATTGTGGTCTGTAAGAAATAAGATAAACAGGACCAAGTTTACAGTGTTAACGAATGCAAATCATAGGAAACACCAGAGATTTAGCTATTATGAAAAAAACCCCCACAATGGAAAAGGCAAAACCAGGCCAATTCTGCAATTGCAGATTAGTATTAAAACAGTATTCCAGTTTCAGAGCCGCATGTCAATAATGCTTCAAACAGGAGTTGAAAGGGATATTCTCCAGATAATGGATTTTAAAAGATAAAAAGGGAAAAAAAATGTCTTGGACAAATTAAGTGCAGCCTGAAGGAGTCTGCTTTTTTTTTTCCTTAATTCAGAGAGAATGTGTCTACTCCCAAGTAGTAAAAGGGGAAAGTAATGAAAATCCAACCACTTAATAGCACCAAAAGCTGTAGAAAACAATTACTTTTTCACACAGATATACTGTTGTTCCTCTTTTTACTGACTCCTCATCCAAAGCATTTCCTGGGCGAATGAAATGACTGACATCTGCAATATGTACACCGACCTGGAAAACAAGCATCACATTATGCATCTCATGAAACAGAAAGAGTTCTCAAAGAAACTTTCTCAAGTTTTTATTTACAACCCAACTTATCCACTGCCAGTTCCCTTCAGCAGCTCCTGTATTTACTAATAGGAATAGTTAAATCCTATCATACAGATATTAGAAAGGGAATAGTTGCAGCAATTATTCATAATAAGACATGTGTACGTTTAGGGGGAAGTTATATTCATTACCAGTGCAACTCCTCTTTGCCTGGGGGCTCAAATAACCTCTTTCATTTTCTTCAAGGCTCACTACAAAGTTCTTATTTTCCATTTTGGCACACCCTGCTATTACAATTCTGAATTCCAAAAGGAAGACAATCTGACTAAATTAGATATAAGAGGGTAGAGAGCTGGTGTTAAGCCTGTAGCTTTTTAATGCCTTTTTTTTTTAATAAAATAATCATACCATAGGCATTATAGCAGTATCTTAGCTTTTTTTTTCTGACAGTTCCTTATTCTAATAAGGATAAATATCCTTGTTTATAATACTTACCTAAAGCAGTAAATACATTTTATGTTAATTTCCCATGACATATGAGGATAAACCAGGGTGAATTTAGAAGACATTAAATTCCCACACTGATATAATGAAAATCAACTCCCTTTCTTTATTGCAATCTTGCAGCTGTGCAAACATCACTACTTTATTATAACAGATCTGCAGCTTGGCTCATGTCATATACTATTCTATAGTCATGTCATATATTATTCTATTCTATTACCACTACTGCACTGTTTGTAAAATAAAGGAAGAAGTAAATAAGTAAATGATTGGCTTGATACAATACCTCTATATTTCCATTTTCTATTTCTCTGCAATGTAATGCATCATCAATATCCGTACAGCCAGGAGGATCAACACTACAAACATTCAGATGCCTTAAGTCCTCCCTGTGTTTCATATCCTGAAATTTAAAATAAACAAAAAACTGTTTTCAAGAACACCTTCCATATCAAAGTAAAAACAATTATTTGAGAAAGGCACATTACATAAGATTTTCCCAAGCAAGCAAGTATTTTCAAAATGCTTTTGTTTTGTTTTTCTTTAGTACAAGATTAAAACAGATATGCAGAAACTACAATGATAGAAAAAAATAAGACAGAAGATTATCAAGTAATAATTTTTTTGTTTGTTTTACAGCAATCAGGAAGAGGAACAGAACCATAATCTTGTCATGATCTTAGAATTAGCAGGACCAGGAATCAAGATTTTTTGAAGTGAAATTCTGACTCATGTCCAGATGGATGACTTGTTTAGGATATGACTGCTCTCAACTCTAGCTTTCTAAGGCTTAGATGTCTAGACAGTTGAAAGGAACTGCACACTTTGGAAGTATCTACCTCTGTACAATGGCTACAAAAAGGTCTCAAGTATCTAAGACTAGGCAACTGACTTTTAGTGAGCTAATTTACATGAAGATCCCTCCTTCTGTTTCCATTAAAAATAACAGAAGTAGGTAATAAATTATAATAAAAGTAGCCCACCTCCAAGAAATTAAAATGCACACACAAAAACACTCAGCCCAGCCCAAATCAAAAACTATGCTCAAATTGTCCTCTGATGACATTTTCCCATAAATTCTAAAGCAACCATTTCCCATATTTAAGCTACTGGGGCAAACCGGAAATTCACTAACTGCATTTAAACAGAAATTTTCCTTCCAGAATTGCTTCTTTCTCTAATTACTGTATTATAGCAGAAATACATTTAAGTCTCCACACCTCAGATTATGTTGTCCGTGAAACAGGCTGCCACATTTGGTTACAAAGCTATTTTGCAAGATGAAAAACTCTTAGGGATGATTGTATAATTATTTGAATTGCAGCCTCCCGTTTGCAAAAGCATTCTTTTATCTTTTTATTCTTTAATGAAACCTGTAATATGTTTTTGTCTTAAAATGTTCATCCCCAGCAAACATAGTTTTAGCCAAAACCCAAAAACTTGCAGAGGTCTTGTTTCCATAGGAAATCCAGCTGAAAGTTCAACCTAAGACAAAACAGTCCTGGACAACATTTCTCCTATTTCTGGTGCATTGGAATATCCGAAAATGTCAGTTTGCTTTGAAACAGAAGGCACAGTAATTATTACAGTAATTTACAAATAATTACCTCTTCTGTAATGCTCCATGGCATTTTTGGTAGGAAACTAAGAACAGCCTGGGAAAAAGCCTGATGCGGGACATCATGTTCAAGTAGAAGAACTTCTGTCTCTGTCTCTTTATCTCCAGCACTTCCCAAATTCTTTACAAAATGACCCTGAGAAACAATATACATACACACACATGCATACATCAAGTGATACCATTTGCCCAAAAATAAGTATTTGAGAACATTATCCCTTAGGTTACTCATATATTAAACTACCCAGTAGGAGCAATCTTTTTTCTTTAGTTAACTTACTCATCTTTAAGAGAGAAATTTCATTTTAAACATTTATTTGATTCAGTAAGTTTGCACTGTGTACATCCCCCTCTTTTCCTCGAATGGCACTAAATTCTACATAGTTAAGGCAGAAAAAATTGTAAACGTGAATTCTTTTTTGCAGGAAGGAAAAGCCGTTGCTGAATAAGCAGCAAAACTAATAAGCTCTAATTTCTCTATGGGTTTGCATTGTGTCACACTTTATTCCTACACAAGCCTCTTCAAAACCTACCTAGTGTTCAACACAAATTGGCACTGGTGTCCTCAGTTTCTCATACAGCCTAGTATTTATTTACCCTCAACTTCTAAGAAGTTAATTACCTGTAACTCAGTCCTACTGGCACTTTGATTGAATTTGGCCTATGTGTTAAATATCTGCCAGAACAGTGATCTGTATGTGTGAATGAGCAAAATCAGAGCAAAAGATTCATATTTCTAGGAACCCAGACTAAAACAATCCCAGAATGATAGAATATGCTGAGCTGGGAGGGACCCGGAAGGATCTTCAAGTCCAGCTCTCAGCCCTGCACAGGACAACCCCAAGAGTCACACCACGTGCAAGGTGGTCCATGGTTAGTCTATATAAAGTATCTTAAGTAGCACATATATGTTTACTGCAGAACTGCATGAATAAGCTTTCAAAGCATGATAATCCATACCTGTTTTTATGGGGGAAGAGCAAACTACATCAATTAAGGACTTCCTTAATTTGCACCATCGAATGGCATTCAAATAACTTAAAATTCATGTCAACGCTGTTCGCAGTTGCTCAGTGTTGCAGATAACAAACATTTTATATATAATAACACATAAAAATCAGATAGCTAAAAGTTCAAAAGAAAATGCTTAAACTTACATTAGGATACCTGGAATTCCTGGGCCAACCATCAATAGCAACAATTATTCTTTGTCCTTCCAATGTTTCTGCTTGCCTGGTTTCTATTCGAATGCGAGGAATTCTGCGATCAGCTGGTGTAAACAAATGGCGCCTTGCCTATTAACAGCCAGAAAAAACAACAATTAATTCCCAATTAAAGACAAAACCCAAAAACCTGCACCTCCAGGTGTATTTCTGGATTTATTAACTGGATTATTTCTTTACCTCTTTGATCTGTGATTTGGAAAGCATGCCACAATATGGTCGCCAGTTTCGTTTTATAATGCCCACTACTTTTCCTGTAGGTCTCAGCATGTCCTTGTTAACAGCAGTCTTCAGCTGGTAGGACACAAAGATTAAAAATACAAAACTGTTTAAACTCATGTAAACATGTTTGACTACAGCACATACCTCAAACCTTGGCAGTAACACTTTATGTCTCATTATAATGCCATAAATTCTATTTTAACCTCATAAATAGAACTATGCCTCCCTGTGCTTTGCATAACTTTTAGCATTTTCAGTAAGTGACACAACTTCTTAGTTGTGGAGTGAGCAGAGATAGTGGGACAAGACAGTATTTCTTTCCAGTCTTTTTCTGCTGTTCTTCATTTTTCTGAAATTATGTTCATTAAAAAAACCCAGACAAATAACAATCTCCATCTTATTTTACAACCTATTTTAATCTTCAGGAGTCCTTTTATGCTGCTTGAAAATTCGCCAGTAATTCTCAACACGATCATTAAAAAAAAATTCCCATGACATTCAACTGAAGGATCATTTTTAAAGGAATGATCTTCTTGGTCAGGACATACATGTGTGGACTGCGTGCACACTAATTGCAATTACTGCAGGAAGCTGAGGAATATTTTACAACTGGTTCCGAATGTACTACCTATAAAAGGTAACTGTCAGTGTAATACAACACCTGCTCCTATTCCAGCAAATCCTGATCTGCAAATTGGTATACAGATTTACATTATTTCCTGACTACCACTCAGTAACTTTCGGATTTATTAAGCTTCATAAAGTAATGTGGGAATTTCTAACTGAGATTAATTAAAAAGTATCCATTCTATACATGATCATCTATTTAACACAAATGTACAACTACAAATTAAGTTTTATAACTTCTGTATTCACAGCCTATACAAAGCATGGATAAATCTAAAGCCTAACACTGTCAGGTACTGCAGATTGAATTTCTCTCTTAACATAACAATTAAGTAAAATTATTTATTTCATACAATGTTTTCTTTCTCCTCTTCATTTTCTATGTCATCTTCATTCTGGCCATCATCTTGCAAGACCACTGAGGATGGTGCTACCCATTCATTTTTTGCCAACAGCTCCACGGCGACAATATCTTCATGAACTGCTCGGTTTAAATGTTTCAGTCCCTGAACAATTATCTGGATTTTTTAGAAAACAAAATGAAAATGCAAATATTCATGATGATAAACACAGAACACCCAAATCAAAGCAGTGTAACAGAAGAGTAAACATGTATAACAGGCTCTGCACTCCAAAGAACATTATAAAGCATGTTTGTGACTCATTTTTTTTCCTCTGTCTAGGTTTCTTAGAGTACTGATAATCTTATTTCAGGATTCCAATTCCTTTCATAAAAAAATGTTTTTGGCAGGCTTGGGGACTCCACATACTACTGGGAAAAAGGAATAAAAGAGAGACAGAGAAGTATCTCCAGCTGCAACCACAAATAGGGAGAGAGAAGACAACTGCCACTGCTTGGAATCAGTGTCTGTACAATTGTATCAACTGAGAATTCAGCAGGGAGACAGATGGGTTAACTGCTGGGCAGGAAAAAGCCATCCCCCTCCTCACCAAGCATGAATATAGGAGGGGAAATAAAGCAAGAGAACCCCACAAGGCCTTATGATAGTTTTTTCTGAAAATCCTACCACACACTTGTTCCTTTGTCTTTCACCATATATTTCAAACTGATTTTAAAAACTGTTGAGTCAATTGAAAAACTATTAACAACCAAGACTCAGCTTTATTTTACCAATTACTTTATCAAACTCTAATTTTAAACACATTATTCTTTTTTTCACAAAGAGCACAGTCAGCATTTCAGTAGTCTATATCCATACAAAGAACAAATGAAAATGACAGCAAAAACACTGAAAAAAAAAGAAGAGGAAAAACTACTAAAATGCTCCATTTTAACACATATCATCATGAAAGAATTAAATTTTAAGTCATTACTGAGGCTAGTTAAAGTTCACAGCACAAAGATAAAATGAAAAATTCACCTCTCTGTTTTCTTCAGCATCTCCATGAACCCAAACAGTAGCTTCAAGATAATTCTCTCTGCTCGCCCTATAAGTTCCTTGGAGGTAAATACCAGATTTTATTCCTTGCTGCAATTTGCTAAGAGGAATATGTTCTGGGAATATTATTTTTCCACTTTCTATTTCTTTCTTTAGGAAAAAAGGAGAAGAAATTTTCAGTATTTTATATTCATGATTATTTCCAAACTGAGCTCAGGAACATGACACTCAAACTGACAAACTCCAAAATTGTAACTATGTGCAGGTAGGAATAAGCACAGTAATAAAAAACTACTACTAAGCAGTATTTTTTCTAATAAAACATCAAAAGCATAAAAACCATAAAAACATGGCAATTCCAGGAACTCTTGTTTTCCTGTTTGCCTGCAGTTACTTAAAATGATACTGCATGAGTGGCATACACTTTTCATTTGGATATACTGACTAAACATACACTTAACAAAAAAATACTAGTACAGTACTACATAGTGAAGAGTATGGCACAGAGTGTATACACTGTAAGCTATATGAAACATTATGAAAATACATTAGTGTGACTAAGCTTTGGAGAACCCGAATGATCTACAGTTAGCTGCTGAGAAGACCATCTGAGCCTTCCACTTTCTTCCTACTCTAACATGTTAAAGCTCTATTCTGTTAGAACTATGATGAAATGAACTTTCCCATTTTTTGTAGTTAGCGTTCAGCTCTATAAGTTTGTGTGTGAAAATATAAGTCTTGATTCTGACAAACACAAAGCACAAGGAAACAGAAGAGGATGTAGCTCATCTTTGAACTGCAGACTGCATTTATGTCAACTTAACTGATCACCACATGAAAATACTTTTGATCAATAAGTTAACAAACTTTCAAGTACACACAAACCAAAATTTAAGTAGTCAGCAACATATTTTGTTTTCATTTTGTTTCAATTATTTCTCATATTTATACACTTTATTTAAACCAACTGTTATTATTCTCATCGTCTCAACAGTTGCCTAAAGCAACTGGTTTTTTGCAAATAACAAGACACCTACTAACAGGCATATAAGCAGCACTAAAAATGGCTGCAATGTTTCCTTTTTACTTTTCAGTTGACAAAAAGTTAAATTGCTAAAATGGGAATAAAGTCCAGAGCCCTCATATTCTAAATGGATGCTAATAGCCTGACATACAGTATCCAATATTATACTGCAAACCATTTCTGATTAATTTATTTTATAAAAAGAAAATAAAAACATACCCCTTCATCAGATACACAAGCAAGACGATCTACAAGCTCAGGATTAGCTGTCAAGCTTTTTATATACTCCTCACCTACAAAAGCACACACATAAATATTTATGTGAGAGATGCACAGGATTTAGGTATGAAGAGACTGCACAGTTTATCTGAACAATAAATTAAACATACATACTATTTCACTTACATGTATAAGCAGTTATCCCTTCCTCTAAAGCCTTCTCTTTATTAGTTCTGTCATTTGTTAAAAAGATAACTTGAATCTTCTCCTCATCCTCTATTTTCTTCAAGTGTTCATTGTACCAGTTTACTGCTACCCGAATGGCTCTGTCATTGCGGTCATTCGAAGTTTCTCCTCGCTTTTGCTCTATGTACGTTTCCCTAAATAAATTTAAAAAAAAAAAAAGGCAGGGTGTGACAAAACAAAAAAAATCCCAACATGTATCTCCACTCAGAAAAATTTTCCAGACAAACAAGATCAAGGCTGTGAGGCCAAAAGAATCATTACTGTACCCATTTTAAAATATGTGTAACGCTTCTTAGGCCACTGAAGGGCCAGGAGACAGATAGGTAAAGGAAAATAGGAAGGAAGCGTTAATTTCTAATACAACCTTCTCACAGACAATTGAAGAGGATTGCATTCAAGATGTTAGAACTGTGGGTTCGAGATTCCTAAAACTACGATACTGCAGTATTGGAAATTAATTGTGAGCACAAATAAACGCAAATTCATTGCATCTTCATTTCTTAGAGCTTTCTGTCACTAACTTACTAACAGATTTTTGAATTCTGCTACAGACTGAGCTGACAATAAAGCACTGGAATATGCTTAAAAGGAAATGGAAAATCAGTATTCTATTGCTCAAGATAACAGTGCTAGCAGTTTATTCAATATTCCAATCCTCCTTTCATAACATATATATACTTATACTAATTATAAACAGAAAAGCTCCTGGAACATGCAACTATTTCCCAACAGGATTCTTCAGAAGTATACAGTTCTATGCACACCAGTCTAATTTTTCTTCCTAGTCCACATGTTCCAGTTTTGTTTCCCACTTTTTTTTACCAGACATCGGAGCAACCTTGTTATACCCTATTCCACACCTTACCTATGATGCTCATTGGTGAAAGAATAGAAATGTTTTTCAGGGTTTTGAATCATGTCCCTAATTCGCTTGTATACTGGTGCACTCCGATTCCTGACTTCTTGTAAGACTGTCTGTAGCACAATGACATTCTTAATAACAGGATCTTCGAGGACGTCAATCTGAGGAACAAAATGGAAATGAATCAAAATTGCTGTTTAATTGTATCCAATAACAGGACTTAAAATATTTGTTTGGTTAATACATAAGAAGCTAACAGGAATAATGAGTGGCACTCCTTCTGTCTTCTTCTCTCACTACTGGGAAACTGAACAGTGTATTAAGTTGCTTCCTCCTGCTCACGGGAAAAAAAAATCAAGTAGGATTTTCCATATTCTCCATGACCTGAATTTTCCTGGAGTAAAGAGAAGGACTTATTCTGACTTCCAACAAATTCATCCCAAACATATGCAGGTCTCCAAACAAATGTAAGGCCAATTGTACACTAGAAATTTTATTTACATAAAATGGGTTCCTGTAAATTGTAATCTTAGTAAACAAAATACAACTATGCACAAGCTGACAGTAATCGGCCATAATTTACAGGCTGTATGGCATATGCCTTTGTGAGCAATGCAAGCCATAAAATAGCACCTGAGCACTGTTTCACAGTTGACAGGACATGCCTGGACGTGCATGAGTAGGCTTAAGTTCTCCAAAAATAATCCCATTGTTGCACTGCAATTTTAATTTGCACAGAGTCAAAACAATTGGAATTCTGTTATGTGGGTTTCCCTTTCCCCATCCTCGACGTGGGGGAGCCCAGCTCTAGTTCCTTCTCCGTCTGACAGAACCATTTCCGACGTCTTGTTGGACGGGGAAGGGGAACTCCAGAGACAGGGTTTTTCAGGCCCCGAGCCTGGAGGGGAGAGGTGCCCTCCCCTCCCCCCAGCACCCACGTGGCTCCATGGCAGGCACAGAGACAGCACACCGGGCGTGGAGAGGAGGCAAGAGAGAGTTTATTGTTGGGAAGGGGTTTATAAGGCTTTTAGGAGGGTCAAAGGGGAACCAATCACAAGTTCAGGGTCACACAAAAGAAACCATCAGGTAAAGGGTCAACAGCCAATAGGAAGGGGTTAAACAAAGGACCAATGGGACACCTCAGGACACTTTTCCCAGGACATTCCTGCATGGGAGATAACAGTTGCTGTGGGGGGGTGCTGGGAAGAAGAAACACGTGTTTGCAAAGGGACCACAAAGAGCCATTTTAAGACATGTTTAAACAAGTTTCTCATCAGGTATAGTGCTACACTGTTAGCTGCTCTTGTCTTTTAAAAGATGTTTTTCTTTTTTAAGGAAATTTGTTAAAAAATTGTCAGCACTTTTCTTCGCTAACTCCTGACAGTCATGGTATGCAAAAATCCACACCAAGGATCCAAGCAAGCTGTCAGCATAAAAGGATGAGAGCTCCACTTGCTAGGTTTGTGGTAAGGAACTGTGCAAACCCACCTCAAGAATGAGAAAGCAATAAGGTTCTAGAAGGTATAGCTAAAAGAATCAAAAGCAATGCCAGACCAAGCTTCCCTGACCTTGATGTTTAGATGACCTGAAAGATTCAGAGCCACGTTCATTAGGGAAGAAATTCATTATTATTCTACGTACAAGCTGAAGTACCAGGCCAAGCCTTACTTTTGAAAACCTCTTTCAGTTGCTAGGCAAATCCTTTCCCTACTGTTACCAAGACTTCCTAATCCCCACTTCTCCAGTTTGTGGCAGCATACCCTGGCACATTCTCAGAGTGCTCCACAGGATGCACATACAAACTTTACCAACAGACAACAAGAAGTCCATGTGTAACAGGCTGAAAACACCCTTTGATATGCTGTTTTGGGAAGAAAATCCTTACTTACAACTTTTGGGATGTAAAACTGCTAAAATACAAAAGTGTTGTGCCCCTCTTCTGAGTACTCCATGTCAGGATTCATTAATTACTTCCAGTCTCCAATGTCTGCTAAGGGCTATTCTACCTTCTACACAGGTATTCAAAAGCAACTAAAAAAAAAAAAATTAAATGTCCGTCTTAGGATTCCAATGTCTCCCAGGCAGTCTAGTGTCTGCACTGGTCAGACTCAAACCTTTGCACAATTATTGACGGGCTACAGAGTAAAGTTTCTCCCACTGCTTCCAGAGTTGCACATGGGATGATTTTGTAGCCTCTATTTATTACACGAAAACAACATCACAGTATAGAGAACACAAACCTACATTCTGAAAAACAGAAGAGGCATTTAGGGAAAATTCTGGTTGAGAAGAAAATTCAGTGACCACAGGAAGATCCCAATCACTGTTTCAGAGTCTACCGACTCTCTCTGACTGACTTTTTCCATACCCACATCAGATCACAACGAGCAAAATAAATAAATGTTGTTGTTTACTCCAACCGTTCACAAAACAAGGCAGAAAAAACCAAAACCAAATAAGTAAAAAACCCCAAACCCCCGAAAACCCCAGAGCTAGAGCTGGTGATGCCGTAGCCGTCTGCTGAGGAGCTGGCAAGGAAAGAACGGACTGGCCAGCCAGGGATCAAGTAGCCACAGGGAACAATGGGAGGAGCCAAGCCCACAGCGCGCTGCCAGACACCGGAAGCCCACGCGTAACGGGCGCGGGATAATTCACTCACACACGGATTTAACCAAGGCCGGAGCAGGAAGGGCTTGAGGCTCCACATGGAGCACGGCCGGGCCCAGAGGGAGGCGGCGGCGGGCCCTCCCCGGGGCCCGGGCCTGTCGCTCCGCTGAGGCGGTCGCCCATCTCATCGCTCCCTGCCGGAGCCGCTCACCTGGTGCAGGAGGAGGTTGGTGTCGGGCAGGAGGAAGTGCGGCCCGGGGCAGAGGCTGCTGCTGGCGCCGCTGGGACGCGCCTCCAGCCCGGGCGCGTTGGCGGTGCCGGTGGCGGGGGGGCAGAGGCGGCACGCGGCGGCGCCGCACGCGATGTCCTCGCGCAGGTAGTGCTCGCGCACCACCTTCACCACCGCGCCCGCCCGCGTGCGCTTCACGAACGTCCGCGAGGTCAGCATGGCGCGCGCGGGCCGCGGGAGCGGGCAGGGAAGCGCCGGGAGGCGGGAACGGCGCGGGAAGCGGCGCCCCCGTCGCCGCGGTGATGTCGTGCAGCCGCCCCGCCCCCGCCGCGCCGAGGGGAGGCGGAAGCGCGCGCGCGCGCGTGCGTGTGTTACCGCAGCCGCCGCCGGTCGGGGTGTGCGGGGGCTGCCCCGGGGACCCGCCGGGCTGGGTCAACGCCCCCCGCAGTTACCGCTCAGCAGCTCGGGGCATTCGGTGGGCAGAACAGCATCCCCCCTTCCTGGACCGCCCCCGCCTGCCGTGGGGAAGGGAGGGGGTTGTGGTCCCGGAGAGCGCCCGCGGGGAGTAGCCCCGCTGTCGCTGCCCGGGCTCCGAGCGCGGCGTCTCCTCTCTCGACAGGGCTCTGAGCAGCGCCGTCTGTGAGAAACAACCGTGGTCTGTGCTTGCGGATTGTAAAAGTCCGTGTGGCTGCTGGGTCACCAGCCTGGTAAGAACAGTGCAGCTACTGCTGCTGGGAAGGCAGTCAGCGTTTGAAAGGAGTGTGTAGCCGTGTAGGGGTCGGCCTCTTCTCCCGGGCAAGTAAGGACAGGCCGAGAGGACACAGTCTTAAGCTGCGCCGGGGGAGGCTTAAGTTGGACATTAGGAGAAATTTCTTCACAGAAAGGATGATTAGACATCGAAATGGACTGCCCAGGGAGGTGGTGGACTCACCGTCCCTGGAGGTGTTTAAGGGAAGACTGGATGTGGCACTGAGTGCCATGTTTAGTTGACAAGATGCTGTTCGGTCATAGGTTGGACTCTGCGGTCTCAGAGATCTTTTCCAAACTGAGTGATTCCGTGATCAAAGTATTCCTTTACCTTTTTATCCGGAAAGTCTGGTTATGCCTCTTACGGGATGTTCTCTGATGTAGTATATGCCTCGTGGGTCTCCTGAGTTTTTGGTACATGCACTTCTGACAGCTTACACATCTCTATTTATCATACTAGTAAGCTAGATTCACACTGGCATTTAACTTATTGTGGTCAAACCCCTTGTTAATAGCTGTTTAGCAAGAGAGTCCTTAGGCAACTGCCCTCTTCAGAGCTTGTCAGTATGTTTTTCTCAGGTGGAAAAAAAATAAATAGCAATACTGAGGAGCATTACTTGATTAGTGGTCTAGTTTAACTGGTTAATTTTTCATAACGACATAATGCCTTTCATTTGTTTTGATTTTTGCTGTTAACTCTTCAAGGGGCTCATCTCAAAGTGTAGCTTAAAAACAACTTTGCAAATAGTGGAAGAAAATGTCGCAAGAAGGCTCTAAGGAAACCAAGAAAGTAAACATTTCTAGCTCCTTGGAATCTGAAGATATTAGCTTAGAAACCACAATGCCAACTGATGATGTTTCTTCCTCTGAAGAGAAAGAAGGTACTGTAAAAATCACTAAGCAGCTGATTGAACGGAAGGAGTTGCTCCATAACCTTCAACTGCTTAAAATAGAATTATCTCAAAGAAACTTGATGATTGACAACTTGAAAGTGGAATATTTGACCAAGGTAAGGAGTGTTTCTCCTTTCATTATATAATGTTTTGTTCGTTTTGGTGCTTTTAGAGTATGGTAGAAACTTCTGTTCTGAAAAAATTTCTTTGAATTGCATGATGGAAGCTTGCTTAGGTGGTTTGGTGATTTTCTTTGGGTTTTGTTTGGGTTCTTTAATGAGAAGAAAAGGAAACAAAGATATGGGAAACTTAGCTGACTTATCCAAGTCATTATAAATATATGAGGTGTGATCTAATTAGTTCTACCTTTTCTAAATACAAAGGAAAAACTGATGTTAGCAGCTTAATAGGGCTTTGAACATGAACTTGTGGAATTCTAGAAAAAGTGATCTAAATACAATTTAATGATCTGTTAATAAAGATGTGGCTAGAATATACCAACATGCTAATAGTAGATTGTGCTGTGCACAGCTTCCTCTAAGATGCATGAAATTAAGAAAGGCCTAAAAGCTTTGCCACATCTACATGCAGTTCATTTTTACAAGCTACTGTATACTAACTGTGGCTTTCATTGGCTTGCTGCTCTGAGTTTAAGCCTAATTTGAAAGTCATTGTACAAGTAGATATTTGGTTGAAAAAGACCTAATTAAGAACTAAGTCTTTTTTTATTTTTATTTCATTGGGACAAAATCTGTATCATATTCAATGAAGCTTTAGCATATTTAGAGTTTTTGTTACACAGTTATTGTTGCACTTCCCTCAACATTGGCATCTTCACTTTTTTCTCTCAAGTTGTTCTTTTTTGTAAAATATTTTTTAAAAATTACTAAGGTAACTTTTCTTCATTTTATACTTTGTATTTAGATCGAGGAGCTAGAAGAGAAGCTTAATGATGCAATCCATCAAAAGCAGCTGTTGTCTTTACGACTGGATAGTCAGTTGGCATTACAGCAAGAAGATGCTAGGTATGATGGAAGTAAAATTAAGAACTTCATCTTTTACTGTCCATTAATTAATTTAAATTTGTATAAATAAGTTATTAATGGAAGCAGATAATTATTAATTGCAGGAGTAGGATTTCTTTTGCAGATTATATTAGTATTTTCATTCTAAATATGTAATTTGCATATTTAATGTACATATAAGTAAATTTGAATTCAACTCTCACTGGCTGAAGTTTGTGGTTTTGGTTTTATTGTTACCTTGATTCAGCATTTAATAGGAAAGAGGAATAAAAATGTTCTTAAAACCAATAAAGAGCAAAAGGCGTAGGCAGAGGGAGCAGAATTTTCATCAGTTTAAACTGAATTTTTAATAACTGTAGTGTAGATGACTTGGGAAAGGTAAGGGAATAATGTTTAGCATTTCCAGTCAAGATTGCAGATTTGTCAGAAATGCTTGCAGTCGATGATGTAGAAACTCACTTTCTATCCTAGTTTTCTGAAATATTATTAGTTAATCTGTAGCTGAAAAATAGACTGGCTAGAAGGCTTCTCCAAACTGCTTTGTCAATGAAATGTTTTAAAACACCTGTGAAGGAAGAGCATTATTTACATAGTCTCATGTTACAGTAAAGGATGCACCAGCTTACAAATGTGGCTAATTCAAAATCACATTCTGTAGTAAGGCTAGAACAGATTTAGGGATGTGAAGCCAGACCTGAGATTAGTTACAGCAGAGTTTTTCAGCTAAGAGCAGCTGTTTGTGTCAGAAAAACATCTGTCACTCTGTATGCTTACTTCCACCACAGTGGAATATTTTTATGTTGGCCATACTTGAGTTATCTCGAGTACTCAGTAAAAGTGTACTGATGTGCAAACTGTTATTAATAGGCATAAAAAAGTTGAACTACTTTCCTTTCCCCGATCTTTCCATTAGTTTTCTTGACAGTCTTTTACTTCAGTTTTCATCCCCATTTAGTAGAATTGTACACATTAAAGAATACGTCCTCGTGTGACTGCTTTGCTCAGACTTTCAGTTGTCTTTTTTAAACCAGCGGGGCAGATGTCACCTTGTAGTATTAGCTAGTATTTTTTATGTTACTTCTTAAATAGTGCAGGAATGACTGTGTTGTAAAAAATTATTTCATTTGGATATGTTTTCAAGAGTTATAGCTAAAAAAAGTAGGTTATAGCTCCAAAAAAGTAGGTCAGTCATCTTTGATTTGAAGGTTGTGTGGAGACCTCATAGCAACCATTCAGTATCTGAAGGGGGCCTACAGAGAAGCCAGAGAAGGACTCCTTGTCAAGAACTGTTGTAATAGGACAAAGAGTAAGGGGTAGAAATTGAAAGAAGGGAAATTTAGGTTAGATATTAGGAAGAAGTTATTTACAGTGAGGGTGGTGAGACATTGGAACAGGTTGCCCAGGGAGGTTGTGGATGCCCCAACTCTGGCAGTGTTCAAAGACAGATTGGGTGGGGCTCTGAGCAACATGGTCTAGTGGGAGGTGTCCCTGCCCATGACAGGGGAGATTGGGACTTGGATGACCTTTAAAAGTCCATTCCAACCCCTTAACATTCTATGATTCTATGATTTGAATAAAATGAACTAAACACTTTGAAACATCATTAAGTGATGTGCAGTTTCTCTTGCTGTATAATACCTTGTCACTGGTGATAATAGTAGTGGTGGTGTTTTAAGGCTGGAAGTAAGGTTACTTGTTTTAATGTGATGGTGTTTGGTTTGTTTGTTGGTTGGTTTTTTTAAAAGGACCCTGACTTTTTATGTTACACTTGTTAGAAAATGAAGGGTTGTGTGTGAAATAGACCATGAGCATCCATGGGCTGAAACTTGATAAAACACAAGTTGAAGTTACTATTGCTTTATTTGGTGATATAGTAGTTCCTTGGGGATTTTGTGGAAATGTTTTCTGCTTTTTCGTGTTTTAACCTTTTGATTGGTAAATTAAGATTTATTTATAAATTCAAGTCAGCATATGTGGAGATTGTCGCTTCTCAGATTCAGCTTTGTGTTGTCAGTGACTATAAAGTTCCTGGTTTTTTATATATGCTGTGTCTGATATGTTAATGTAACCATGGTGGTATACACTCTTGTGCTAGTTAACTAATCTGTGTAAATTTTCCCTTTTGCAAAATGAACACAACTCACTCCTTTGCCAGGGTATTCGAAGCTTTGTCACTTGTGTTACTCACTACTTAATGTCTTCTTTTTTCAAATGTTTTCAAATCAATCATGAAGAAAACATCAAGCTCTAATGAAACAAGAAATGGAAACTGTTTTATTGAGACAGAAGCAGCTGGAGGAAACAAATCATCAGTTGAGGGAGAGGGCTGGAAATATCCGTCATAGCTTGAGAGATTTGGAATTAACAGATGATTGCTATGAGAAGCTAAAGTCTCTTCCTGAAGATCAGCTTTCTATCTCTGAATATGTTTCTGTGAGTATTTTGCTTTGTATTAGTTTAAAATATAGGCTGTATCCTTACTGCAAGTAGGTGAGCAGGCATATAGGTGCTTGGCTGCTGGGCAGGGTTAACCCACCACAAGCTGTAAATTAATTTTTTTTTTTTTTTTTTTAGAATTAAAGGGATGTTCATGGAGTAGAAGCCAGTCTATAATCCTAGAATTCTTATTCATCCCCAGCTAGAAATAAAGGACCTTCAGAGGAAGGTGTGCTTCTGGATTGGTCCGTTACGACTGCATTCCAGTAAAGAGGGGAATCTCAGACCGATGTTTTAAAAAGAACCTTACCTTTCCCTCACGCTTTCCATCTGGCCTTTTCCTATTTGACCAAACACAGGAGATAGTGTACCTTAAATTGTCATTCTTATCTAAAGGATGATCTTGCAAAAGTCTCATTTAAGAAGTTCCAAAACTTGGACTTTTGAAAGCAGCAGGAAGGGCTTGGGTTCTTCTGCATTATTACCCTCTAGATGTCTACTGTACCTACTGCCCTCTACAGAAGTATTTGAGGGGTGTTTGTTGATTCCCGCACCACAATGGTTGAAAAAGCAATATTTTTAACAGAAGTGGAAATCTGCGTCAACTTGCTTGAAATTGGGGTGCAGGAAGTTCGGAACTTCGGGAGCTGATTGACAGTCAGTACAAAAGACTATGTAGCCAGGCAGGACAGATACCAGGTGTTAGTAACCTTGTCAGCTGCTCTAAGTGAAGCTGTCACAGCACAATTAGGGTGCTTAGATTGTGAGTAGAAAGGGGGGTCTCAAAAAGATATGAACTGGGAGAGATGAGTAGCAGCCACCCTCTACCCTTAACTTACCTTTCTTTTCCTTTTGTGTTCAATGAGTAAATGCTACTTATATCTGTGCCAAAAACTCTACTAATGTGTTCAGTGAAGCCCCTTTCTTCTTAACATGTCACTTTTTTTCTTTTGAAGAAGTGACTTTTTTTGGCTGATTTTATTTTTTTCCCCCCCGGAGAAGGCATTCTAAAGATGAGGTAAAATGCTGTTTGCTGCTGCTTCTCTTAGCAAGAGGATTAGTGTGAACCTGAAAGTATCAGTTAAGCTTGCTGGTTGTTTATCTTTACTTTGAATTATTCAGCTGATGCAGATGCTGGGTGGCTACAGAACTGTTTTGCTTATCCTGTCTGTACATCCATTTGGCTTCTGACAGCTAGGTAAAGGATGTTGAAAGGAATGTTGTTTTCTGCTTTGCTTGCCTAAGGAAGAATTTTCTATTTCTCAGGCATTTAAAATTTCTGGCTCCAGACTAACAGCATAGCCTACTGATATTAGGGTAAAATTTTCCTTGGCAAGAAAGGGTCCTGCTTAGACAACTTGAGCAAGAAATTTTCAGACTTTTTTTTTTTTTAATCAGTTATAAAATACTGCCTTACAATCTTCAGGATAGAAGTAAACATGTATACAATGCTTAGACTTTGTTTGAAACCTGGTATAATGGACAAACAGTAGGAAGAGCTTAAATGGAGATTTTGTATATAGAGATATTTCAAGTTTAAAATACTGGAATTAAAGCAAATGTGAGATTTTTTTGCTGTTTTTCCACAAAAGGATGGAGTAATGACATGTTAGAACGAAGACTAGGTAATATTTAATGATGACAACTGAAAAATTATGTTTTAAGCATCTTTCTCTGAAAATCATGCTTTTCTGGTTTTTTAACTTAAAAGTAAAAATTCAGATTTTTTAAACTTTTTTTTACCACTTAAAAGAGTGATATTTTTTTTAGAAACAGTGTATGCAAAATTTTATAATACTTCAGGCCATTAAGTATTTTGGCTGCCAAGCACCAGTTCAGTTTGTTCAGTAAAGTGAACCTCTTGTGTAGTCTGTGATAAAAAAAAAATAAAAAATTGCAGCAAGTTGTTTAAAAACGGTATCTGCAAATTCTGTTTGATCTTATTTTAATTGCTGTGTCTTTCAGTTGTATCATTTTGCTAACTACAGCTCAATTGCTGTTTGTCTAAGAAGGCAGTTAACTGATCCAACTGCTTTCACATAACTTCATTTAACAGAAGCCAATTTTTTCATCCTCTGCACCCACCCATTTTTAGGTTAATTCTAGTTTTCCATAAAATGTGGTGGGCACATGCAAAGAGTTTTTTAAAAATTGCCTGGAAAATAGTAACTCTTTGCTTATAGCACATTGATATAAACCTGTAATTTCTAAGATATGTTTTGGAAATCCCATTTCCAGTAATTTCTTTCTGTTCTATTGAGTCAGCGAGAGGCAATGCGTGCTTTGACTGTTGAGTTACATGAATGTTTATTGGTCATCAAACTAGCTAAATAACAGTAACACTTGAATTTCTGCTACAACCTCACCCTTATCTGCTGCGTGCATTTGCACTTTCTTGTTACCATGTAATTATCTTTTCTTGGGAGGGCTGTGCAAATACATTTATTCTTGATACCTGTATCCCATGATATCTTGGTTTCTACTGGGAAATCTGTTTTAAGGTGGTTGTGGTTTGAGAAGTAAATGTGGTCTGATAGCATAAGTTAGGTTTCCTAGGGAAATTGCAGTAAAAATACAAGAGCTTACTGGAAAAGCAAGTGTGAAAAAACCACAATGTTTTAAATGGTTACCAATTAGTGATAATCAAGGTTATTGAATGACCAATTGAATCATCAGATGCTACAGTTAAAACTACAAATACTCATTTTTCAGTCATGTTGCACACTTGCCTTATTGTATAAAGCAAACTACATCTATGTTTACATGACAAATTTCTATGGCTTCTGTGTTTTTAGAATTGTATGCTGTCAATTATATGAAATACACCTGAAACTTTCCTTTGTCTTCTGCTACTTACAGGTAGCAAAACCGAGACCTGTCTTCCTTCTACATGGAAGTGTAGTACACGTTGCTATTGAATGGTCACTTTATTTGTGCTTTCTTGCTTGTATTCTTTAATCATATATCAAACAAAGCATTAGTGATGGAGGGTATGCAGTAGCTTTTGCATGAAAACAGTACCTAATTGTCTGTTCTTTCCACCATCCCCCAAAACCAATATTTTAAGGTATTAAGTTAATCTGAGAGTAATAACCTCTGTGTATGTGTGGGGGTTGTATCCCAAAAAAGCTTTCTTTTTTGTTTTGTCTCTTTGTGCTTTTTACTACTGACTTTGTGGTTTTACTACTGTATTTTCTAGTCTTTTTTTCTTGGTCAGTAGAAATGTTCTGAAAAAGTTTTATGGATGTGAGACTTAATATGCCTATTACTAAAGTGGGGGAAGAGAGCGGAGTATGTGTTGCAGATTTTAATTTATTTTTAATCCTTTTACAAGGATTTTTTGGTCTTAATTTAGCAGAGTTGAGTCTTTCAGAGGCCTAGTTGCCTGATGCAGCTGAATCCATATAACAAGATATTACTGCTGAAGGTGTGTGGGGGGGGTGTGTGTCACAGTTCTTCCTGGTTATGTGCTGTTCCTGCTTTCCTGCGCTGGCTCTTGCATTTTTCTTGGTGCAAATTCAGCACACTGAACTGGCAGAAAACAAAAATTAGTCCCTCACCATTTCTACACACCTCATAAAAATTTAAGTTTGCTTGGGGGAAGTTAGCAAGTTCAGTTAGTTATTGCTAAATAGGTTTTTGGTTTGTTTGGGTTTGTTTTTTTCGCTTTTTACACTGTTAATCAAATAGGCTCTAGGTTTGGCACAAATAAGTGCATCCTTTTTTTTTTTTTTTTTTTTAATTTGGGAAACCTGACTTGGACCTGCCTTAGTTGAACAGCAATGTAATCTTTACCTTTATTTTTCTCTTTTGTTCAGTGCCAAACATATTTTGATTATTTCTTAGCTGATGCTGTCAAAGGTTGAAGAAAGATGCTGGTTTTGCTGTAACGTTTCCTTCACCGCATCCCAACTCCCCAACCAGGTTTCTGTCGTGCTCTAGAAATAACTCGGTGAATTATTGGCGTAAAATGTTGAGCTGATTTGTTTTTAGGATTATAGTTTTGCAATTGCAATTTTGTTAGTCTCAATTTTGAATATATATCTTGTTCTTCTAGGTCCGATTTTATGAAGTAGTCCATTCCTTAAGAAAAGAGCTAAGTGATCTACAGATGAAAAAGGGGAGTCTAACAGAAGAACTAAGTGGGTACAAATCCCAGCTGAAGTCTCTGACAGAGGTCTGTACTTCTGAGTTATCTTAGTTAAGAAACTGTCTAAATATGTAATATTGTGAAAACCTCATTCTCCAAATCATTATTCATGTATAAGATATAGAAGCTTTTTTCCTATATAAAAACTGGGGGGAGAAGAGGGCAGAGAGGGAGGAAGGGAGGGAAAGGAGAAACATGGTATGTACATTTCTGTATAATAGCTAATTTTATGCCATGGCTACCCTGCAAGATGTACTCATGAGACTGTTCAGGGTACTCTCTTACCAGCTGTCTGGTGCTTTCTGAGGGCAAGGTTCAGGGTGGGGAAGCTGAGACAGGAGATCCACCCAGCAGCAGGTGAAGACACCATGATGTTTCAGTGTATAGTTTTTGAGATGTGATGTCTTGATAGTAATTTGCTTCACCTTTAATATTAATGATATAAAAACGGATTTTTAATAATTCTTTGTGGTTGCATTTCCTTTGCTATACTTTTCAACTTTTTATATTTTAATTTTCCTATTTATTTCTGTACTAAAGAGAAAGATAATTTGGTTTCAAGTAAAGGCTAAACACTAGAAGTAGAGAATTTAATTTTTATTTTCAAAGAGCAAAGGAGTTGAAACAGTATAAGAATAATGTTGTTTTTAAGGTATTTATAGTATTTTTAGCATGTATATAGCCAGGGTAATTTGTGTTTTAGCTTAGTTCCACATAAATGTGGAGTTGGGATAACATAGTTTTAGGTACCCATAGTATATTTATCAGTCTTGGCTATCAGGGATTTTAAATACCATTGTCATTTTACTACTTCTGAGAATATTTTTTTATTTGTCGCCTTTTTCTGCCTCTGAAATTTACTTACGGAATAATCAAGTGCATGAGAAATTATTTACACGAGATTATCTTGTGAAATTATTTTCATTTCTCTTTTTGATTGAATTAGAAAAAGTAGTCAATAAAATATGTGCATTTATGTGGTTCAGCATTATTTTGTAATATCTCTGGTCATAGCTGAGATTAAATTAATCCTGTTCATTTTGTCTTACATAAGCATTTTCCTTCATTGTACATTTAATATGCTCTGATTTAATAAAATTATTCAGAAGGATTTAGCCTTCTGAGATTTGACTGACATCTATATTAATTTTTGCTGAAGCAAATTAACAAGACAGTAGATAACAATAATTAAAGTTGTGCTAGAAACAATTTTCTCAGTACATTGACCTTTAATACAGAAACTTCCAGTTTTGTTCTTTTTACACCACATGGTGGCAGTATCCACCTTTCCCATTGATCTATTTTTCCAAGTTTTAAGTGTGCTGTGCTTTGCTTTTATCTCTGCAAAAGAAGCACTAAAATGTTGCCTATGTTGAACTAAGGTGCTTCTTTAAATGCCTATACTCTATTTACATGCTTAAAGTGAGAGGCAATTAGTAAAAATTAATAACTCTCTAGGAAAAAAAGTCAGGGAAGAGATCCAGATGTTGAAATGTCACAAAATTCTCAGGTTTCAGATAAGATCACTTACTACAGTTCTTCAGTAGGTACAAAAAACCACCAAATCTTTATCCTGTATGTTACACATAGCAATGGTGTGGTTTGGGTATTTAATGAAAAGTGACCTGATATGAGGTATTTTTAAGAGCCTCTGTAGTTTGATTCTGGCAAGTTCAGATTGGACCCTGTGACTTGGTAAGTGTCACTGTAAACAAGGTACCTCAGGCTGTTACAGATATTAAGTGAAGAGGAGCATCATCGATATGTGAAGGTACTTTAGAATCTGTAATGTACTTGGTACACTGAAGCTGGCATGCCTACTATCTCTTGCAGTTTATGAAGTGATTTCAAGGGGTACTGCTGGGGTAACTTATTTATCTGAGCTCCTTCGGTAAGGTCAAACGTTATTGCAAGGAAATTTATGAGTAGGAAATAAAGTTTTGTTAATAGCCTTACCTAAGCTCTTATACTCTTCTTTACTGGAAGTGGTTTTTGGGGTTTTTTTTGGTATTTCAATCATTCTTTTTTTCCACGTACATGAAACATGGTTGCTTAAGTTTCTTGCCTGTCATTTAATAATTTATACTCTTTGAAACCTTCTTCTGGGTTTCCATTTCTTAAATTTTAAGTTTTCTCCAACCACTGCAATATTTCTGTTTTCTACATGGCTTATCAACAAAGTGTCTATTCTGAGTTTAAAGCTTCTTTAGGAAACTAATAATACAGACTTTTGAAATACAAAATCATTGAAGTTAAGACAATCGGTTTTTTGGTTTATTTTCTTTGTGAGAATGAACCACTTCCTACAATAAGCATTCCTTTCTTTTTCTGCTGTTGCAGATAATTAAGGCTCTTCCTAATGAGTTTAAACATGGGGGTTTTCCCTCTTTGTGGAACATGGAAAGAACAAAAAATATGTTTACCCCAAATCTTTCTATTAACTACTAATGGCTTAGGGAAGGGGGATTTTGCTGGCTTTTCTGATTGTTCATGGCTGACTGTTTAGGTCTGAGTAAGTTCTATGCATGTAAATATTCACCCAGAAATAAGGTTATGAGGTATATGAGAGAATTAGTTCTAGGCTCATAGGAAAGTCTATCTAGCCAACAAAGAATTGAAAAAGTTTGAAGGAAATTTCAAACTTATCTTAATATGTTAAGTCAACTCTAGGAAAGTTTAAATGTGAAATGAATTCATCAAATAAGACAACCATTGCCTGACATCAGTTCTGTTTTTTTCTGACAGGATGGCTGCCTTCTTTTAATTTGGTCAAGGGAGATGAGCTGTAATTTTAGTCTTTTTGTTTCATAGTGTGAATGTAAGAGACTTTATTTATTTTGTTTTCTCTATCATGAGCCTGTATATACTGTTTTGTGAGAAAATAAAGCAGACTAGTTTTATGCTCCGAATGCTGTCATAATGAACCTGTATTCTGGCTCAGTATTAGTTATATAAAATCAGGTATTCAAACCCATTAAATCTTTTTTTGCTACATAGTGCTGTTTTGTTTTGTTTTTTTCCTGGAGGGTGGAAGGGAATCATACCAAACAGAAACCAATCATACTTGGTTTTGGCATGACAGACCTGGCCTGATCTTGTGAGTGCAGTGGCCTGATATTGTGGCCTCTCAGCCAACTGAGCTTATAAGCAGCTGTACCAGATAGGAAGCTTGATTCTGTAAAAATTGAATTGTCATTGTAGCCTTCTAGAAACTAATCTTCTAAGACTTGACAAATCCACTTGTTCTTTATCTCTAGGCAATTCATTCATTCATTTGTATTAGAAAAACTTTTATTTCTGACTTTAGGGCACGAAACACATCTTCTGAATGTTTGTCACCTTTATTTGTACTCAAGGTGTATGAAAATATATTTTGTTTGTTCAGAAGGGGCAGGAGGTCCTAAGTGTGTGTTAGCCTCTGTTAGCACTCATTTAGTTCTTAGTGTGCTGGAAAGTGAGACCACTAAAACTCTTGACTTTGTAAATTTCTCTTGATGACTGTGTGTAGCTGCTCTTAGCACTTAATCAAAGGCTGCTGAATCTGTAACACAGACCAGCCGGGCAAGGAGCTGCTTCTAACAACTGGTAGCAGAAAATAGCGTGTGAGGACTGGTTTCTAGTACTGGAACATAGTCTGATAAACACAGCTAGTGTCAAAAGATATTTGTTGCCACTTTCTGTTTTTAAAGTGGTTCTGTTGTACAGCTGCTAAGTTAATGGCTCTCTATGCACAATTGTTGCATCTGATTCTGGGTACAGCAGTCACAGACCGGGAGGAGGCAGTGGAATTGTTAAAATGATGTTCTTGTATTGCAGTGCTGACTGACTTGTTACTCAGTGTGTAGTACAGGCTCGTTTTAGTCCTCCTTTTACAGTGCTTAGTACTTCAAGTTTAAGTAATGTTGGCAGCACCACCTTTGGAGGTACAGATAGAAAAGGAAGTCCAGCTATAGGTGTGTATTACCAGGAGCTTCCCCGAAACAAAACCAGCTTCTGATGTGTGTGTTCCCATGCAGAACATCAGTTTACTATTTTCAGAGTTGTTTGCTTCCAAAGTGGTCAGAACCTTCCCTCGAACAGATGTAATTTACTACTCATGAGTTGCTCTCAAGACTGAGAGAGAGTCTGGGAAGGAAACCTTGCTTTTCTTTATAGCTTTAGAAGATTAAGTATTGCTTTCTTCTTCTGGCTAGGAGTTTCTTGGCAGTGTTTTCCTGGAATTCGGTCTCGATACAGGTTTATCAGGGCTTCCTTTCCTCAGTTATTTTTTCTGTAAAGTTGTCTTCAGGACTTGCAATAAGATTTATAGTATGACAGTATCTAAAACCTATGGTAAGCCTAAAGAGAGAGCTGGTTATGTGTAGGACAAAGATCTCTTCTAAGGCTTTGTCTCTGAATCAGGTTTAGTAGCTGTCAAGTTTTGCTAGACATAACTAAAGTTTGCTCTCTGATAATATTTTCCAGCTGGAGGAAAAGCCCATCTATAGTCTTCAAAGAATAAACTAAGCTTTTGTACTTAAAGGATCAGTTGGCACTAGATGCATCTGAATGTTAGAAAACTGCGGCTGTTCTTGGTACTCCAGGACTGTGATCCCTCAGATTTCTCCTAAAGTTGGCATATATGTAAAGACTGCAGTCTAGAACACTTCCCCAGCCCCCAGACGCCACTTCTTTCAAGCAGTGCCTTGATTACTTGGTTTTCATAACTCTCTCTAAAAAGGCCAGATGAGGCCTCAGTCTTAGATGAAGTACATGCTTTTTTTTCCTCCCATTCATTGTTCTTAATATTGTTCTGGAAAAAAAGCTGCAAAGAAGATCCTCTACCAGTAATTATGAGCTTGAGGGAGCAGTTTAACATTTCCAAGAGTCAAGGAAATGATTTATCTATGAAAGTTCCCTTTTCTGTCCAGTATCTTTCTAACTCTTTCGATACATAGCTGTGGCTCACATTGCCTGCTAGCTGTTCAGAAGTACCAAATGGTTTAATTATACTACTCTGTAATGCAGTGATCTCAAGGATCCTTTTC